ACAGGCTAAAAGGTCAGATTCCCGAAATTAAACAGACATTAGAAATTTTAAAACACATGCAGAAGAAAAAGGTAAACTATTTTGAATATCTAACGAGTATGAGAAAAGCTAACTGCCTTTCCACCCTAACAGAACACATTGCAAGAAATGTTTTGGAGAGCACACTTAATATGCCTTTATAAATAACAGAATTGTTTTAAAGGTATGTAGCACTTTCTGAAAGCTTGTTCAAAACCAGTAACGTTTGTAATGCAAGCTTCCCTTCGGTAGCGTGTAGATTGCAGCTAAGCTTGGATTTTAGTCCTTATAGAGATTTCCACGTTGCTTTTAAATACTTTAAAGAATGCCTTAGTCTTGGCACTTCAGTGTTGAAGTAAACATACATGCAGTTTCACCCAAGCTAATACTGTATCAATGGCAAAAAAGCAGAAAAGTGCACTCCTTACTGTAAACTTTGTCTCTTCTGTGAGTTTCCAGTGAAATGCGAGTGTTAAGCTTTATCATTTCTCTTAAGGAATCCACAAATCCAATGGAAACCCGATTTTTATTGGCAGATAATCTCTACTGCAAAGCTTCAGTTCCTCCTACAGACAAAGTTTGTTTGTGGCTGGGGGTAAGTAACATGGGACCTTTTCTGAGATGGTTTATGTGACTGTATCTTCCAGCAGATGGTGTTCACTGCTGGCTCAGCTGTCCTGGTTAGGACAAGTGTAATGCTCCATGTGTGCAGGGAGAGCCGTGTCATTTCAGTGCAGCAAACATAGCAGTATTCCAACATGCTCGTGGAGTTTTCATGGTTTTGTTTTTCATTTTCCTTAGTGCCTGAACATAGTAAAATGGCAGAGAACTGTAATCTTGCTGAACTGTTTTATCAAAAAAGTGTATTTGTGAATGTTTCCCTGTCACACTGTGCTTCACATTACCAGGCAACCTTGCTTGGCATCGGAATGAATATGCCCAACAAAACTACTTAGCTTGAGAACTAACTTCCAGTCTTCTTGTTATTTGTATTTAGCTTGCTTCCATGCAAGCTTTCTGGGGAAGGGTAGGATTTGGGTTCCTCAGAGGTACCTGCCAGCTTTTAGAGTGGAATTTGTGCTAGATTGGTGGGATCAGAGCTTGAGTCACGTTTCTAAGTACCAAAGTAATATAAAGCTGGGATATTCAGGAGCAGAGGCCCCGTTATCTGTGGAGATAACCTGCTAATGTTTATTTTGAGACCTGTAAATCCCTGGTGTTCTCACACGCTGGCTGCCGAACACAACAGCCCGCTTAGAGCAGCAGCGTTGTTGGTATGCGTTGCATCCTGGCTGGTCTGGCAGTTCCTCACAGCTTCACCAAATTCTTTTCTGTTGTAAAAACAGAAGATTTCTGTCTGCTTCATTTTGCTTTCAGGTTACTTCCTTCAGGATTCACAACCATTGACATCCAGGTCAACCAGGTCTACCAGGTTTCTTCTATCATAGATTGTCAAAGGAAGTTCATCTTGGTTCATACAGAAAAGCTGTCGTGAAGCACCACAAACGATTTGTTAGTTGTACTTAGGGTTTCTTGGGCCTTTAACTCTTCATCCATCGTGTTGCTTACAGTCTCTGTGCTGGGCTGTGCATATCAGTACTGTTGCAGAAACCACCTTGCAGTTATTTAAAAAACAACCAAAAAAGAGGAAAGCACTGCATATATAGTTCTTGCACAGTGTTCCCTGCAATCCTGTCTGATTAAGATTTATGTGGCTCTGTTCAGTACACAATTCTTGGATGGAACAAAGCTACACGGGTGCATCTTCATTTGGTTCTATTCTTTTTTACATGGTGGCTTCCTTGCTGAAATGTACTGATTAAAAACCACCCTGATGCCAGATTGGACTTTCATACACGTTGTATCTTGTAATACTTTTTGTTAGTAAGCAGTGCCACCAGCTGTTTGTCTGTATTCTGCACAGATCCTGAGGTGAATCTTGAATGCAGCAAGAATTGTTTGTAGAGCTGTGTGACACTGGAGATGCTGTGAAGGAATGAGGAGTGTCTTGCTTTTCAGATGTGGTGGAGATGAGATACTGGCGCATAAAAGATTGAATGCAATACACAGAAATCCCCTATTGCTCAGGAAGAGGAGGAAAACTTCTTTCCAAGTCACTGGGGGGATTTATTACTCTGTTACTGAAGTGGTGGAGCCTCAAGTGGCTTCTGACGTTGCTTGCCCTGAACCTTGCCTAGGCTCATCAGTGTTAACGTGATGAGCCATAAACAGTCTTATTCCTTACAGTGCAAGTGTAAAAGCTTGTATGAATCTTTTTGTTGTGCAGGCCAACGTGATGCTTGAATATGATATTGATGAAGCTCAGGCTCTGCTAGAGAAGAACCTGTCAACAGCCACGAGAAACCTTGATTCTCTAGAGGAAGACCTGGATTTTCTTAGGGATCAGTTCACCACTACAGAAGTCAGTATCCTTTTAATATGCAGGAGTGATGTGGAAGGTAATGTACAGGTACCTGCTCGTGTTTCAAAGTGAAACAACTCTTCCTACTTTCTTAGTTACTGATACGCCTGTAAGTTAAGGCTTTGCAGCACATCAGCTCTTTCATTAAAAGGTTTCTGTAGTCTGCTGCAAGTTAAATGAAGTATGTATGATCAACAGGATATCCAGCTTTTCCCCTTTTCTCTTTCCACTGAACACTTCTGTTTCCTTAATTTCACACCCTCAGATATGGCTAGAGTTTATAATTGGGATGTAAAGAGAAGAAACAAGGAAGACCCTTCCAAAAACAAAGCATAGTTTTGCCAGTTTTAAATGTGGTTTCAATTTCAAAATATTTTTTATTTAAATACCCCTGAAATTCATTCTTAAGGGACTGAGTTACTTTAAGCAGTGCAGTAAATGGTAAAATATATAAAAACTAATGGTGAGCGACATTTTATTTATTTGTGAACTCAAAATTTGGTTTCATGCATGCTTCATGAAAGTATAGATTGTTTGAGAAGATACCACGCAGTCCAGCAAAGGACGTAATATTTGGATCAGACCAGTCTGCTATAAGTAAATTTCTGCCTGAATGTTTGTCTGAAAAGGTGAGGGTGCATGTATGAAACTGACAGCATGATGGCAGGTGAAGGTCATGCAGGGTTTACTTTTCATTTCTGTGTGCAGCTGACGAAGGTAAAGTCAGCGTGGGCTGGGAAGACACAGCTGTCATGTCCTAGGAAAAAGGACAAACAGCGGAGCCCTGGATTTTGTCTCAGTCAGTTACTTCTTATACAAGCATTCCACTTTGGATAAACTTGATTTTAATGATTGTTAGTTGACTGCCTGTTGCCGAACTCTCAGCACTTTACATGCAACACTTTGTGACTTGTCTTCAGAAAAGAATGCTGAATGGAGTAAACAGCACAAGCTCTGTCAAGCCTGCAGGTGCTCTCACCCTGTTCTTTTTCCACACACGTGCACACATGGCTTACTTTTGCAAACGTATTGAACAAGGACACCAAAATGCTGGCAGCCTGTAAATGAAAAAAAACCCTACTTGCAATCCCTTAGACAAGATGTCGTTCAAATGTCTTCACACTCAGCCTCCCAGGTGGTGAAACCTGTATTAGATGAGGATGGTTGACTGCAGTCTGGCTTCTGGTGTTAACAGGTGGAATATTTTTTTGGTTCTTACGAAGCCTTGCGAGATTGTTGCCTTTTACCTCTGCAGTTTCTGTCTAAAATGAAATGCTCAGTGCTGATGTCAGTGGCTAATATGCACATTTAAGAGTACAGGTTTTGCTGCAAAATAAATGCAAATGTTCACTGTTGGAACTTCATGTAAGAAACAACATACCTGTAAAGTTTTTGTACTTTTATTTCATTATATTAAAATAGTAAAACTAAACAGTTGTGGCAAACACCAGTTTTTGTGCATCTTTCTTTGTAGGAGTCATGAATTTGAGGTATGATGTTCTATGTTTCCATCTTGTCACTGGGGGCAGGGGAGCGAGAAGTTGAAGCTGTGGAAAGCTGGATACTGGTGTGAGTGAAATGGGGCTGTGAGTCACCACACCTGAATCTGGGAACAGAAGCAATTGATTTGTAACACTGTGGCTGAAAATCAGCAAGAGCTGTAGGGATGGGAATGAAAGAGGTAAGTCCTTAGCTGTGCTCACAATACAGACCTGGGCTGGGCTCATTCACACCTTTATCTGCAGGGAGGTGCTGGTTTTTTTCTAGTGTCTTTGGCTGGGAGAGATCTTTAAACCAATGCATTATCTGACTAGCATGTATCTCTACCCCTTGCTATGCTTGGTTGAAGCTGTGCTTCTCTCCCTTTTTGAGAGCATCAGGAATGACAAGAAAGGCAGCTGCAAACGTCCTGATTTCTCTTGCAATTTTATCTTCTGTATGGATTAATGAGATCCCAGCAGGCTAAAGCACTTCCCCACACCACTGCTTTTCTAGCTGGTCCTAAGGCAGCAATTGCTTCTCTTTGTTGTGCACAATGAAATGATGAGTTAAGCATTTATGCACTATCAGAAAACCCTACTGGGCGCAGCTTCCAATGACCTAATGCTGGGTGTCAGTGTGAGGGGGGAGGCAGCATTAGGACTGCAAGCACTCAGCAGGATCAAAATGTATCAGGTTGGTAGGGCGAGAGCTGGCCTTGGAATAACACACAACCCTTGGTTTTCAATACAGGGTTTTGTTGTTTGCTTAGCACAAAGCTAAAAACTTCATAGACAACTCTGGCTTCCATATGACCGATCTTCATCCAGTACTGCCCTGTTGTTTACTGACACATTTTTGTTGCTTGGATTAAGAACAGAAAGGTCTTACACAGGAGCTAGAGCAGTTTCTGCAGTGTGCCAAATGCCGCCTGCCAGGCTCCAGGAGCAGCTATGGCTCCTCTGGCTACTGCTGCAAGGAGCAGGCTGATATTTCTGCAGCTGCTCTGCTTTTCTCAGCACCCAGCCTGCTGGTTTTGCAGATGTGACCCGGTGGCCGTTACAGAAAGATGTACAGCAGGTGCCATTGCAAAGATCCTGTTTATTGTTGAGCTGGTCCGTACCAGATTTCCAGTTAGGGCTGCTGTACAGAAGCGGTACAGATATGAGATAGCTTACTGATAAGGAACAGGGAGGGGAGAAGGAAAAAAACCAACAGTCTCTTTACAAGTTTTAAATTTCACAGTATCACATGGTAACCATTTTGCTAAGTACAAGCATATTTCCAGTCACATACAGACAGCTAAATACAGCATTATTTTCACATTTCATTACAGTGCATAACAGAAAGCGAGGAAAGTGTATAGTATGTTTTTTATTCTGGAGGTTCAGAGCAATTTGAATCTAACATGCAGATTGTTTTAAGTTAGCTTTTCTTGTTTCTCTTTTTGACCTAGAGTAAAAGAGCTCCTGACCTTTATCCTGTGGAAGGTTGTGACCTTTGATTTCTCTAAATCCCTCTTGCACCAGAAGTCAAAGCGTTAAAACCAGTTGTTAGAAAAGAATGCTTAGCATATCCTATAAGTTCTTCGTCTTAGAAAAAACATTCCAAATTTTGTACAGAGGAATCTACATTTCCTATATTTTAATAAGCTGCCTAAAAAATGCAAGGAGTTAGAAAAAGATGTATATAACGATTTATCTATCATTTAATATAACCATTTATTACCTCTAAGTAGTTAAGACTGCATACATTTTCTTCTGTACTGTTTCTCCTCAGCATTATGACACGTGTTTGTAAATCAAGTACTTACTCTGAAGGCCTGAATATACGTGCTTATTTAGGTTTCCTGGAATTTCCCTCTGGGAGCAGAAAGACTGAGAGAGAGAGAAGCGCAATGTCCAAAGCCATCAAATAAACCAGCAGCTGTCTTGGGAAAACTGAGCTTTTCCTGCACTGAGGCTCACGGGTTTTACTCTTGCTAAAACTGATCTTTTCTAAAGGTTCACCTGCCTTTAATGGAGCACTCAAGCTCTGCCCTTAGGACAGCTGCTAGTCAGCAAGGCGACCTAAGCCACACCTGTGAATAGCCAGGCCTTGAAAGAAAGAAAGAAAAAGAAAACTGACCCTTTCATACCTGTTTGCCCTCGTCTTTGTGAGAACAGGACTAGCAGTCCCGGTCTGAGCAAACCTTGTGCTCCCCACTGGCGTCAGCAGAAGCTGAAGGTAGAGAGCCCATGGTAGCCCAGCTCCTGTGGTGCTCTGCATCAATCTTCTCCAGCTTCACTTACCTAGAAAGAGATTTTTTAAGAGATTTCTTTTTTGAACCTTCAGGTTACTCAGCTTGACCAGCACCGAGTCTGCCTGGAGCTCAGCGGGCCTTAGCACAGGGCTCTCAGTGTAGCTACAGCCTGTCCAAGAGGGGCCGGGTTGTGCAGCAGCGGGCAGCTTACAACAGGTGCTAGGCCAGTGCCATCCCTCCTTCACTCTAATTTGCTACCAGTGCCCTCCTCTGCAGTGCTCAGGAACTGAAATTGTTCCAAGAGTACTCAAATGAAAATGTAATCCAACTTCAGGGTGAGTTCTTTTTTTATACACAGGAATCTTTCATTCGTACAGACCAGCACAAGTACTGCAAACTATGCGAAGAGGCTTGGGGCAGTCAGTCTGAATTCAACAGCACTCAAGACTCACTCAAGATGGAGGTAGCTTAAAAAAAGCTGTAACAAGTACCTTTTTTCTACATCGAGGCCTAAAAATCAAACACCAGGTGCTTCCTGTAGTTCTACCTACTCCCTCCTGCCCATTAGTTTGTTGTGTAAAGCTTGCAAACTCAAGTAAAAAGGTCACTATTGTTTCTGTTTGTTTTAAATAGGTTGAACTTTGCTACAGGTTACCCTGCTGCAATTGTAAAGCTGGTTGAAACTTAGAGGAAACAAAGCATGCCCAGAAAATGGCCACCCACATACAGCCTTTATAACAACTGCTTCCACCCGCAATGACCAACCTGATAAGGATCATCTCCAGTCAAATTAAAACAAGGAGGAAAACAAATTTTACTCTTGAGCTTGTCTTGGGCTTTCCTTTTCCTCCTGCTCACACACTTCTGTGCTCCTCCTCCTCAGTTCTAGTTCTCTTCTTCCACAGATGCCAAGAAAGAAAATGACACTTTAACAGCAGATAGTGATGGAAGCCATTGCTTTCCATGCTATTCAACTTCTTTAAAAGCAAATCTCACCTCGTGGATGCACCTTAGTTAAGCTTTTCAAGTTTCCCCTGCCCTGCCCAACTTCATTCCATTCTTCCTTGTGGCCCCAGCTGACAAGGCACCCGAAACATTAGCACAGTGCTGTTAGCAGACAAATGTTGGTGTGTCCCACCTGGGTGCCATACTCCAGCCTCAAGATTCAGCAGATGAGCACAAGTTTTTCTCTTTATGCTCCGGATCACTTAATTATTCAGGAAAGCCCTGAACTGAGGGTACACTGAGGTACACATTGAGGCAGTAAATAGTTTAAAAATGTACTGAATAATTACTAATGCAGCAGGCATTGCTACTTAGAATCCCAGTTTACAGCATGAAAAACACTAGGGGAAATCATTTGAATTGTAATTACCAATCAAATAACTACTGTTCTCCTCTTTAAATGCCACAGAGAACTCTACTATTGAACTAGGTTCAAGAATGTAAGAAAAAAATTCAGAAGTATGCATACCACACCAGTAAACTTTCCCTATGCCACTGGCCTTAGGAAGGAATGGTACCCTTGCTGCCTTTACACCTTCCTGCTAATAAGCAGCTGATGCAAATTAAGATGTCATCTTTCTCTCTGCTGCTTCTCATACTACAGCACTATCCATGCCATGGCTCCAGCACCCAGCATGGCGCTACAGATTTGCTTAAAACAGGACACGTACAGCACTGTGGCACATGCTGGCCCATTCAGATCTAACTGTGTGCTCTGCCCCCTTCTGCTGTCCCTCACTTCTGCTTGCTGTCTCATTACAAAATCTACATGCACCCTCACTCACTCTGTTAGGTTTGTAGCCCCCAGTTCTGAAAAGTTGTATGGAACAGAACACTCATTCCCTGGGTCTGTTCTCGTATCCAAAAGACTGTGGGAGGCTGTTCACAACGGGAGCGTTGCTCTCCCTTCTGGCACACTGAGTTCACTTAGTAAAGTACGTTTGGTTAGTAGAGTTCATCACCACTTCTCTCACTAGAAGAGCTCAGCACAAGCACCTCCTATCTGATTTCACCACTTCTTCTGAAGAGTGCACTACGTTTGGGACAAACCCACTCTTTACCCCTTCCCATCCCTCCTGGATCGAAATTTCCCCCCTTTTAACAAGCTCGTATATATCTCGAGTCAGATCAGTGAAGGCCTTCTCCACGTTAATGGCATCCCGAGCAGAGGTCTCAATGTACTTCATACCATATGCAGCAGCCAGTTTCTCGGCCTCGTGCCTGGTGACTTGCCGCTGTGTGTCAAGGTCACACTTGTGACCCACCAAAACAAAGACGATCTGGTAGGGCTGGACGTGCACCTTGGTCTCTTCTAGCCACTCGTGGACGTTCTGGAAGGACCTGCGGTTTGTAATGTCAAAGAGGAGGAGTCCACCAACCGAGTTCCTGTAGTAGGCTCTGGTGATGGACCTGGAAAAAAATGATCCAGACATGTAAGTCACTGCTATTTGGGAAGAAGGGCAGAGTAGGTTTCACTTCTTTTTCTTCCTGCTTGTTTCTTTTGATTCTTTTTTCTTAATTGCAATGTGGCACTTCTGTACCTAAGCCTCTGCTCTAAAAGGTAGCATTTCTGCTACCCCATCTATCCCGCAGAATACAGGACAGAGAATGCCACTCAGTCACATCTCACAGCTTTGACTTGTGCTCTGCACATCTCGTCAGTCACAAAGACAACTAATCTTGGCTTAAAACTTCAGCCCTGGGTAACTGCCTCATGGATTTGCCATAACTCCACCACCATTTCTAGTTTCTCTATCACACATTTCCATATTCTCTGCCATTGGCCTAACGAGCCCCCACCACACCAAATCAGTACTCTGCATGGTTTGGTTGCCCCACTGGTTTAGAAGCATTGTAACAGCTTAAAGGATTTACCCAGAGCCAAACACCTCCTGGCAGATACATAAAAGGCAAAGAGAGAGGCCACAGGTCAGAAGGCAGAAGGTGGAGCTGTGCCCCTAAAAAGACCCCAAAAGGTCCCGCAGACCCTCAGGCTGAGAAATGGAAAGCATTCTCCACGGTCTGAGGCAGCCTGAAGCAGCACGTGGAATCAGCCAACAAAGATCTACAGAGAACACGAAGCTGAGCAGAGCTACAGTCCAACAGCTACTACATATAGAAAAAACAAGAAGCTGTACAACTGTACTGTTTCTGCAAAGTCACGAATTATTCTAAATCCAGAAGCACTCATTGATTTCAGTCCCTGGAGGAACTTAGACAGGGACCTGAACTTCTTCTTCTGGGAAAATGTAAGCACCGCTACTTCTACCTTGGGACAACTCTTCCTCCACCATGCAAGTCTGTTGTTAGAGGCTATTCTGCCCTGCAGTGTGCTTATCCTGCAGAGCTACCCCCAGAAATGATTCAAAGGCATTTTCAAGATCTGCTTTATCAAAAGTCATGCAATGATAGGTGAAAATCCAACTGAAGAAAGCCAGAACTGAAAAAAAAAAAGGAAAAAAAAAAAAAATGGAAGGAAGGAAGGAAGGAAAAAAAAAAAAGAGTTGACTTGGCTAACTTTTGCTCTCCAGTTATCTGGCCCAGGGACAAGAACAGCTCTGCACATTTGGAAACAAGGGAATCAGCTCTGCTGTTTGCTCTCTGGCCAGCTGCAGACAGACACTGGCACTCTGAATTCACCCCCATGCTGTCACAGGCACTTCTGCTTCTCCTGTGTGCCAGCACACCAGCCCTGGCTGCTCCTGCCAGCATCAGCAGTGCCTCAGGTACTTCTGAGAGACATGACGGGATCTGAGCAGAGCGCTGCGCTGAGGCAAAACGAGGTGAAGGTCTGGGTGCCTTTCCACAGACATCTCCTTACCGCTCCGCAGGAAGCACGCGACGCTGCCTTCACTCTGCGCCTCGCTGCCCAGCTCCCCACGGGACCCCTGCCCACCCCTTCCCGTCCCTCGGCGCAGCAGAGCAGTGCTGTGACTCACAGCCACTCTGACCAAGTTTTAAACAAAGGCACTGCCTCTGTGCAAGACCTCTTCTTCTCCCTGCCTCTACCTGGGGTCCTCACCGCCCACCCCAGCCCTTCCCTCTCACTGGAAGGGAACAGCTCTTCTGTAGGTGCTGGTACGCATTTCCAGCCAGGGAGGGCTGCACATGCTTTTGCTTTTGTTAGCATTACACGATGTCATGTTTCAGGCAAGAAACTGGAGTATTTGAGCAACCTGAGAAGGGCACAACCTGCTGGATCCAGGAAGAATGGAACCCTGCTGTTCTACAACTCCAAAACAGCCTCAACACTGACCCAAAGAGCACCATTTTGTGGCCGAGATGACAAAACAGAGGCATGTGCTTAACTGTAGTTTAAGCCCTGACTGCACAGGAATAGATTCTCATTGATGGAGAGTGAGAGAACTCACAACAGTCAGGAAGAGCAAAACTGCAGCAGAGATGCAGACCAGCAGATACCATCACGGTGTATCAAGGCAATGGCAGTGCTTTCCTCCTCATGGGACACCTGTCAACTTACTGCAGAGCAGCTGCAAATGCTCAAAATTGAGAACTCCATGAAATACCGGAGTTCTTTCCTAAGAATTTCCTTGTTAAGAAATTCCTTGCACTGTGACAAACAAGTGTAACAGTTCTGGAGAGTACATGCAGTGCTACGCTTCTTGCCTGCACTTACAACTTCAGCTTACCCCAGTGTCAGCAGTGTTTTGCCTTTTACCAAGAAGGGGAAGCCTAGGAGCTGCCAGCTTCATGGGGCACAACGCATGACAGGGTTAACTGGGATTTAATAGGGACAAATGCAAAACAGACTTTCGTCACAGCAGACAGTATACCATAAAGGTAGCTGTGCTTGCTTGCTTCCCTCTACCTTCTCGTTTTGGGAATTTAAGTCAGCACTTAGGCAAGGGCACTTCCAAGCGGCAGGATGCGTTCCTATGCCAGCGACCCTCCTGCCCCTCGCACTGCTGGTGCTGAGCGCTGCTGCCCTTGTGCTGAAGGTCGCCTGCCACCACGTCTACATGCAGGTTCAGGCATCAGCAAGAAGAGCAAGCAGCTCCGGGGCCCCAGACTTCCCTCCATTTTCCAAGATGGGAAACCAGAGGCGTCCAACAGCTTCCCCTCCTCACAGCAGGGCACTGGCGCGGGATCACACACGGCCGTGTTTCGGAATCTGACGCAACCGAGCTCTCCGGTGCCTCCTCTCAGCCAGCGGAATAAAGCAGCGACTCCCGGCCTCGGCAAAAAGCCTGTCCGTGTGCAAGGACCGAGCGCGGCCCTGGGGGTCGGGATGGGAGGCGGGGGGGCGGGAGCGGGCAGCGTTCATCGACGTGTGAATGGAAGCGTTACGGCAGCGCGGCTCCGCGATGCTGTGCGGAGACGCAGAGAAAGGAAAACGCTTCCGGAGGGAGCGGGAGGAAAGCGGGTCAAAGATGGGCGAAAAACAGAAGCGCGCCCACGCGATGAGCCGGGGTTCGGGGCCGCTCTCATAACCTCACCCCCAAACCTCATCCCCGCACCGCCCTGCCCTGCAGACGGCGGGATCCGCAGCTGCAGACCCGCGCCCCGCACCGCCCCGCACGCGGCCGGAGCCCCGCATCCCTCGGCCCGCCGGGCCGCGCCCCGGCTTTCGCCCGGCAGAAACGAAGGGCGTAAATAAACGGCTTGGCGGCCCTCCTTCGTGCCGCCCGCAGCCCTACCGGAACCGCTCCTGCCCGGCCGTGTCCCAGATCTGCAGCTTGATCCTCTTGCCCGGCTCGATCTCCACCAGCCTGGAGAAGAAATCCACGCCCACCGTGGGATCGGAGATCTGCGCGAAGCGGCCTTCGGTGAAGCGGCGGATGAGGCAGGACTTGCCCACGGTGGAGTCGCCGATGACGATGAGGCGGAACTGGTAGAGCCAGATGGCCTCCATGCCGCCCGCTCAGCGCCCGCCCATGCCCGGCCCGCAGGGGGCAGCGCCAGGCCGGCCCCGGGCCGCCGCTCGGCGCGGGGCCGGCCGCGCTCCGTCCGCCTCAGAGCCGCCTGCGGGTGGCCGCGCCGCCCCCCGTCCTCCCGGGCCGCGGGCGGAGGCCCGGCCGAGCCGCGATGCAATGGCGGCCGCGCTCTACCGCACTGCCGGGAGGAGCCGCCACCCCCGAACCGCCGCCGGAGCCGAGCGGGGCGGGGCGGGGCGGGACCGAGGGAGGCGGGGGGCGCGGGGAGAGCCCGGAGGAGGACGGCGCGGGGCTGGGGCTGCTGGCCGCGAGCTCGGCAAGCCTGACTGTCCTCAGTGCGCAGGACGTGCGCGCACCGCAACCCGCACGGAGCCCAGCAGGCAGCGGGATGCCCGAGCTTTGCCTTGGTCGGCAGCCACCTGAGCGGGGCTTGGGTCACGGGAAGAGAAAAGGATCACTGAATTATTAAAAACAACTTGGCTAAAAAGCCACATTTTAAAAGTTTTGTTTTCTTAAGTTTACAAAGAGGCTGCATGAGCTGAAATCGGTGCGCTCACGGTGACAATGACGTTCAGCCGATCCTCACAGCGCGGCTCTGCACCAGCCGTGCAACCAGCCTGCAAACGGGGCCGGACGTCACAGCTCGGGCCTCAGTAACAAACGGCAGGGAAAGTTTTCAGTATCCTTTGAAATGCAGCACATTTATTAAAAACCAACAGACTCAAAGATCCTATTTTACAGTACCTCAGGACGGGATAGAAAACTGATGAAGCAATCTGCACAGCCACAGACAAATATTAAACCTATAAATCTGAGTTATCAGATTGTTACCGGTGACTCACAGCCAGCACTCATGTGCGGCACTGAGCTGTGTCATTTGTGATATGCCATGCCCATGAATCTCAGCCCACAACTTTAGTTTCTCTGAGCCGTGCCTCGCTCCTCCCCACCTCCAGCCTCACCATTCCTGTTGCAGGTCTGGGTGCAGTGCTTTCATCCCCTCTAACACACTCACATAGTCGGATGCATGCTATGTAACTGGGTTTCCATCATATTAATTAGCAGCAACTGAGAAGGTAGGAGAAAATGGAATCCTGGAGGAGCCTTTGTGCTGGTATCGTTGCAGAAATGGAAAATCTGGTGTCTGAGAGTAACCTGGAGTTGATGCAGAAGCAGGTTTGGTGGTAGGGGACAGGCTAGACCAGGTTCCTGCTAGGTGCCCAGGCTCACTGTAGCCCTGTGTCACAGGCAGAAGCACCAAGAGACAGCTAAACCAGGTTGGATGGCTCAAACCAGATCCTCCCTCAGCATCACTCACAGCTCCTTCCTCCATTTCGCTCTTCACTTACACTTCAGTCTTCTTCCAAAACCCCTCCCTCTGCATCTCTTGACTGCCCGCCATAGGTTGGAGCTGCCTCCAGGCCATGGCAGCGCTAGAAGGAGCAGAGTGCCTCATCACTGCACCCACAATGTGTAATGCTTTAATGTGATGGAAAGGACAGCAATAGTAGCAGGGTGGCATAACCTTAGGCTACAGCAAATGAGAACAAGCCCAAAGGCAGCAGCCACAGATACAGAAACAATGACTGGCAACATGGATGCTTACCTTTGGAATTCCTCTGGGAGGCAGGGATCTCCAGTGAGATCCCCTCACCTCCCCTGCCAACCCTTAAATGAGGTCTGGGAATGGGGTGGATCCTGGCTCCACCCCTTCTGATACTCAGGTGCACTGCATGGACCTGAGCTCCCCCAGCTTGGCCCTGCCTTCCCACCAGGTGCTCAATCACCGTTTCAGGCTGTGACAGCATTGCCACTGCACCATGCAATTTAAGTGACCTTTTGGTTTCCAAGACTACAAAAATGACTGTCTGTGTTCTGCCCCTCACAGTATGGCCCTGCTGGCACCCATTCTGGCACCCATTTCACACATGCCCAAACCCAGAGGCAGATGCCCCCTAACCCTTGGGGTTGTGTCACCTGGCCACATGCAGAGACCAGCCCAAGGGAACCATGGAAGTGCATACCACCAAACTGGTCAGACTGGGAGCTTTCTGAAGAGTCATGGCCACACGCTGGGGTGATGGGAGATGAGAAGGGGGCTGGCCCACCACAGATAGCAGCTTGATTAGCTAGTTCTCTGTTAAAAAGCATCCCTGTTAAATTAGGCATGCCTAGGAGGTGTGACACTGAGATACTGCACCACTGGCAGCAACATGTTGCCCTCCTGACCTGCTGGCTGCTGCACACCTCTGTAAATTGAGAGCAAGGGGAAGCACTGAGTGATTTATGTTTATTATTTATATGATGCTCACAGTTAGTCATGGCAGTGCAGGTGAGTGTAAAGCCAAGGGTACCACATGGTGCTTAGGAACTGACAGCCACGTTGACAGCAAGCACTGGGAGCGTGATTTAGGACTTTGTGACAAAGTGACAGCCCTAACTCCAACAGCAGGGCTGACCACCAGGAGACATGCGGGGAAGCTTCTGTCCCACCCTGGGTTCTGGCTGGGGCTACAAGGTGGCACCTTGCAGAGATCCCCCAGTGTCACACTGGGATCACATCAGAAGCAGCAGAGCAGGCACAGGCTGAACAGGACCATCACTCAGAAGTAACCAGAGAGGTTACAAGCAGTGCTCCGAGGCAGTGTTAGCATTTATTTTGCAACCAGAATGGACAGGGAAGTGAAAATCTGGTACACTCTGAACCCCATGGGTGGGAGTGCACAGAGGATAAGCTTGTCCTTGCACCCCTGCAAATGGAAGGGCTGCTCTGGTGCCACACAGCGCAAACATGGGATAGCCTCCGGCCACACCAGCTTGTGCAGAGTGGTGGCTGGGCTCCTGAAGATATGTAAAATACTTGCAAAACATTTCCCTGTGACAGTAAATTAAAAGGCAGCTCAATACCATGGGATGGGTTTCTCCAGCTGCAGCACCAGGTGTCTTATCTCAGATTACAATCACATTAAGAAGGCCATGGGTTGGCTGACTGAAAAACGGGGGCTCCCATCATTATGTCTGCCTGAATTGAAGAACAGATCCTCCACTGGGAATATTATGTCCCTGTAGCTGTTCAGGTCTTCTTAGGAAGGGAACAGGATCTGCTTAGAGCAAATAGAAGCCATTACAATCAGGATAAATTAGTAATGGTGAGTGGGAGAGAGAGGAGGAGAGAAGAGGTTATTGTGTTTTTTCTTCCTACAGAGTGGGTGTCTGAACTACTTACACTGCCAGAAAGCAGCTCCTAAGCTTCCCCTCTGAGCCCAGCACTTGAGCTTGCAGGTCAAGAGCTGCTTTGGATTGTTTGCAAGCCAGGAGGATGGCATTATAGGTTGCTAGATGCATGAAATCTGTTTTCTGCTCCTATCAGTAGCGTCTCATGTTTATAGTCTATTGCAGCACCGGCAGTTTTGCAGAGCAAGAAAAAACAAAATATATTTCCGTTCACTTTGTTCTATGCCTCTAAACACAAGCCTTTATCAGAAGCTGTAGTTCTTGCTGTAGGCTAATTGTGGGGGTCTTCATGCTGCAGGCAGTGGGACTGGTTGCATGGTACTATATATTTGGTGCTTCATGTAACACAGAGCACCAATTTCTAATCCTTAATGCAGCCCTGGAAAAAAACCTGGAAGCTAAGCAGCAGAACTGCTGTCATCCTCAGGTCTTCCTCCTTTCCTCCTAGGACAATCCAACAAAGCAGGGATGGTTTAGCAGACTTAGGTACACAGCCCAAAGACAAGTATAATGAGATTTTATAGAATTTTAAAATGCAAGCATCTTTCTGCTTAAGCAAGCACCTGCTTAAGTGCCTTACAAGGAAATGAATGTGCCGCCACCAGCAGGCTGTTCACAGCAGGACCGCAACCCAGAACACACCAGCACCAACCTGGTGCGACCACCAAACCTTGCAGGTTGGGCCTTTGCTCCCACCGGTGTTTATCCAAAGCCATTAACAGTGACTTCTCTCCACAGCCCTCCTGGAGGCTGGCGCTCAGTTTTGTGCTGTTCTGAGCTGATCCAGCACCCTCCAAACACTGGCACATTCAGAAGGATGGGAGAAGCTGACAAGCACTCCAAAAGTGGGAACAGGTTCCCTTAAGCCACCCACTTTTGCTTCAACCTCATCACACGAGCCCTCTCCTGCTCACACAGCAGATCAAGAGCTGGCTCTGCAATACCACTCAGAGTGCCCTCGTGGCCCCAGGGAGTTCAGCCAGCCCCTCGCTGATGCCCTGTTCCTCACGGCAAAGCTGCAGGTACAAAATGCCTCTACATAGAGCACACTCCCTAGGGAGAAGTGGCTGATCCTCCAGGATGATCCCATGGGAAGGGACCTCTATTCTGGGAGATTTCTACGCATCAGTAATATCTTGTGCAGCAGTGCTGCTGAGTGAGCAGCTCCAGTAACACAGACCTTATGGCATCTTTGCAATCCCAGTGTCTTCTGACAACCTCTGTGGCAACACAGCGAGGGACTTCTCCCAGGCATCTGTTGGAACACCAAGAGCACACAGCCATGACACCTGACTGGTGGAAAACAGGCAGCTGAACAAAAAAAATATTGGCCTATGGAAGCTATACAAGTACAAAATGGCCAAATAATACAAACTACCCAACCAACTTTGTGCTGAATACACACAGTTTCAGTTATCAGGAATGGAAGTGTGATTCTTTATTCAGGTTTTCTATTTGATACATTTTTGAGTCAATTTGACAAGCCTTCAAAAATACAGTAAATCTCATTTAAATAGATGTTACTACATGGGTTTATTCAGGCAGCACAATTTTCTCCCTGAATCATCACAGTATTTCTTTTTTTTCCCCTGTCTTGGTGAAGGATAGAGCCGAGCAAATATTAGTAATGGATAATTAACTCTACCACTTGTTTTCCATCTCCTCTGAGACACTCATCCGCTGGATGTTGTTCAAGATTCAGCAGTTATTTTTTTCTTTAGTTTCCCAATTATTTTTGATAGTTTGATACCTGTGATATGAAAGTTTTGAATACATACAGGCCACAGATTATACGTGCATGAGGAGGAAGAAATAATTTCCAGAATCTTGCCTTCTCTTCTCTTCTTGCTTACAAGATTTCAAAGAAAAAGTTACATAGATAAGGTATAAACTCAAAAGGAGCCCATTTACTCTCAAATGCAGACCATTCATAGAAAGTAGCTGCCCAGCTCAACTGCAGACAATGATATTTTTCTTTTATTTTAAGCAGATTGTGCCTAAAGGTAGCACCCTGCAACACATCAGCCTGCCCAGCCCCTGGGGTTACCTCTGTACCCAGCAAGGGATCAGTGACCACAGGACTCGGCCCCAGGAGCTGCATCAGCAGGGATCCCTGCTGGAACATGCAGCACTGGTACTTGCCTGCTTGTAGTCTTAGAAATGAATTTTTAAACACACTTAGTGCATGCACTGAGTCTTATACTTTCATATATCTTCTTATAGAACTCTGCTTAACCCACTCTACAATGAACTAGTAAATATAGGCAGAAATATTTCAACTTTTTTTTTTTTTTTTACCAATTACTATTAAACTCACGTTCTCGTAAGCCTATGGCCCTGAGTTTACATATGTAGCAGGCACAGACAACAAATGTCAGCATCATAAGCCACATGCAAACAGGCACTGACCTTATATTCACAAGCTCCTCCACTCCCCCGTGTGTCACTGACAACAAAAGTGCCTTAGTTTTGTGGCTTTTTTCCCCCAGATAAAGTGCTTTCTGCATAGTAAGTGACACAGATAAGACAGGGCAAATTTTACTGCCTCAAATACAGCCGTGTTGCAAATGCATATGTGGTTTGGCAGTGTAATCTTTTACTCTGATAAACCATTAAATGCCAAAGAAAGCTCCTTAAGTTAATCAGGGCTTAATTTAAATAAACAAGCTACTGAAAGATTAACAAAAATCCTCAAAGAAGTCTGAATACAGAAACAACCTGCTCACAAAATCCTGGGCCAAGTCCATAGCAGCCACCACTCCGGCATGAAGCTGGGCCACTGACACCCTTTATCCCCTTTATTGGCACCACTGGTGAAAAAGACAATAATTTTCTGAAAGACCAAACAAACACTTCCAGCTCTAGTTGTGTAACAGCAGTGCTTGTCCCAACTGCTGCACATGAGGAGCAGCAGGAGGGATGGCTCTGTGCTCACATGGAAAGCAGTCAGGCAAACCTTCTGGAGGAAGAGCTGGGCCTGCCTGGCTGGAGGCTCCTGCAGCACCATCCACATCTGCAGGTATAGCAGAAATCCCCCCGGGGGGAACACGGATAAGGAAACATTTGGGGTGAGAGCAGCAGTCCTGCAGGTAACTCACTGCAGCCACCAACAAGCAGGCCTTTTTGTGGAAGTTCTCTTGTATGTATGCATAAATATTTACATGCTGCTGTTTTATCCCATGGAGGTACTGAAGTGACACCAGGCTAGAACCCATGTAAAGTCTCTTTGGCTTGACATGCTATATAGACCAAGTCCTTCATTAGGTTAGTCATTAATTAATTCTGCTGCCCTATGGACTTTCTCTTAGTGCTTTCAGTACCATAACTGGTACATTTTCAAGTATTATCTTTCTCCAACTGCAAAACCACAATCTTTGTTGTTTGCCCTGACAGCTGTTGATTATCTCCCAGATGTCTTCATTTCATGAAAAACTCTGGTTATTTTAACCATAAAAGTTTTCTTTCATTTATTTAGAACCATTTTGCTCAGCTGAATATTAGTGCTGTTTGAGTTAAAAAATACAATCAACACATTAAAGAATATCAGAATATTCACAGAACCAAAATCTAAAATGGGACAACTACGAATATATATATATATATTTCTCCACAACATTTCACTTACCCTTGGGCAAAAAAGGGTCATTCTGACACGATAAAATATAACACCTCTTTTGCTTGCAATGTCATTACTCAGACCATGCTAAAGACAGGCACAAGGAGACCAGCTGATGACTAAAGAAAAACATTCTATTTAATCACAATATGTACATCCAAGGTACAAATCACAGAGCTACATTTGAAAATGCATTCATAACATCACTCTACCACTGTTAGAGTGTGCCAGACACAAAACTCTTGCAATTACTGACAAGAAGGTTGCTCTAGCTCTGGACAACTATCTGACAGGCATCAGGTGAGAGGCAGACAAGAAGGGGAGCAGGACATATGGAGGCAGGTGGTTACCCTAGTCCTCAGCTCTGCAGCTCCCCTTGGCATTTGTTCACTCCCTGCTTACCTCTCCCAGGATCTCCTGGGTTCCACTGCAGTTCTGACCATTTTTCCTGGCCCATTATGCCAGGCTAACGCAAGACTGCTCCCTACATCATTATTTTATATTGAAATGTTTTGCACACAAGGCATTTCAAAGATGCTATTAGGTCCATTAGCAATGTAATGTTATTTTACAGTTAGGCAAGCACTTCAATTCATATTGCACTGGAACTGTTTTAATAGAGTAACTTGCCTGAGGTCACTGATGAAGCCAGTGGGAAAGCTAGGAAAGCAGCTCTTGATTGCAAAATCTTACTAGCTGCAGGACCATCTCTTTGCTCTTTTGTATTAAAGCAGAAAGGATTTAACATATTGAATTCCTGGTTGTTATCCTCCTTGGATTGCTTCATTTTCTGTTTCAAACAGTCCTCTCTTTCTTTAGATTCACTCTGGATCTCAATTTCTTTCATGGTACAGATGTGTTGCCACCAGTGACAAATGCAAAGCTCTCATTTTCAGCCTGTGCTGCCTGGTGACTTGGAACAATTCTACATAAAGTACAAAGTGTACCACCTGCAGGTAAATATGCATGATACCATAGCGAAGCTTCAGTACAACTACATCTCTGCATGGGTTAAAAAAAACACCACAGTACAAGCAAGAGTAAAAAAATAAATATCTGGATTTCCTCTTTCCTGCTGATGTTACCAGTGCTTAATGGATTCAAACACACTCATTAAATAAAAAGGTAACATTTCTTCTTGTTCAAAATCAAGCATAGCATCAGTTTGGCACTTTCCAGGTCTTCCATCAGGGAACAAATTGTTAACATTTAACATCTCCAAAGTGCTGCCCATGAACTGCCTTACTAACCTTACGATTGCCAGCCCCATGGTCTCTATCACCTCGGGGTGGGAAGTTTCCTATATCTAACAAACACGTTCAGCCTTGCCCTAGAACACACAGTAGGTTATTTCAGCTTTTTCCTCCCTGCCAATGAGCGTAATGGCAGCAACCCCTCAATCCACTCATTGGTAGCAGACATCATCTCCTGCCAAAAGGCCACCTCCTCTTGTGTTGAGTCCATCCAGTCCACGGGGATGCCGTAGCTCAAACCTGAAGAGAAACGAGGAGATGGTAACGTTGGGAGCTGCATAAGGAGCTTCCACTCCATACAGAAAAGTACTCACTGAGGAACAACTGCTGCAGGTAGGGCCTTAACCTAAAAGGTGCTGAGTTCCTGTCAGGAAGTTGCACTGTAATCACCTCCCGTTCTTCTGCTAATGATCTCCATTTTACACCAGAATTCAGTATAAAAGCCACAAAACACAAGAATCCTAAAAATAACCTAGCAAGGAAAACAAGGTTGGGCTCAAGTCCAGTACTGCTTTTTTTGATGTGGTAAAGAAGGTCTACAAGGTTTGGTATTCCTCCTGATTTGTTATGAAGAGACAGGTATTTGTTAAAATTCTTTTGCTCTACACTTCATTTGTACAGGAATCAAATATATGATAGTGTAAAAGTGTGTATATTAATTCCAAACTGATTTTCCAACCACATTTTCACGTGCCAACTACTTGTCGAATAGATAAAAGTCTAAACTTGGGTCACAACTAATCCTGGGTTTGATATTTCTATGTGAACTTCCCACTGGTTAGTTCACAACTCTCTTGGTGACATGTTAGAGATTGAAAACAGAGATCACACAGTCAAATCCAATAAATGTGTACCTGTATCCAATAAATGAGTACCTGCAAGGCAGATCTTCAAGCTACAATAAGGCTCTTCCTGAGTCCCTCAAGGAACAGTCACCTTTTATTACATCCCCCACCCTGAAATCTTCTGCTTGTCTTTCATCTTTCAGAGACCCCTATTGCTTAACAGTAAGTACAGCTAGCTTACAAATCCTTACATCTCCTACCTACCAACTACAAACATACTACCTGTCAAAGCTAGGCATGAGGTACACTGAAAGTTAGGATAGCATGGTTAGCAAATGGCACCTCTGCTGTGCTCTTTGAGCACTTCATAATCTAAACTAAGAGAAGTAATTTAAAAAATAAGAACACCTTAATCTACACCTAAACAACTCAATTTCCAAACTGTTGATGTTGTCTCAGTAATGACTGAGATAGAACAACTACTGCATCAAGCTCTGTTTTCCAAATATTAGTTATTCCTGCTACTGTAGTATTTCAATGAAGGAGATGAGGACAGAGTCACCAGGTGGTGCTGTCCCACATGGCTTTCAAGTTCTTTGTCTTCAGCTCTGAGCACTTTGCACTGGGAGGAACAGCAAAATAACATTGATTTACAATGCTGCCTCTTTTCCTGCAGCAGCAGGAAAATTCTCTGCTGGACCCACGCTGATTCTTGAGTTTTGTCAGACCTGCGGGTTGACATGGCAGAGAATGGGGGCACAGAGGGTTACTATCACAATACCAGGGCCCCTTCCATCTCAGACACAGTGCAAGTATGAAGCCCCTTAATAGCTAGACACTCTCCATATCTGGTTTCTCCCTAACAGCAAAATGCTCAGCAACTTTCCATTATACCACTTGGCTCAGCAGCAGTATAATGGTATTCATTTAACGTAAAGGAAATCACTCACCTGTCCCAAGGCCCAGCCTGATTCCTCCAAGGAAATGGTTGGTTAGTTTTTCATGATCCCACACAGTCAGTTCAACACAAGCATCCTTCAAGTCCTCTGTATGAAAGCCATCATACACAATAGTGTGATTGAAAACAGGGTTTGTGTCTCTTTTTACGACTCGGGTCTTTTGGTAGCTCTTCTTACTCGTGTCTGGAAGCACATAGCTTTGAGAGGAAAAAAAATACAGCAAGTAGTGTAAAATATCACATGAGGTTTCATTAGTGTCTACAAACTTTCTGGGCCTAAACAGGCCTCAGATCTGAAGTAAGGAGTAATTGGGTCTCAACATAAGAAATTCCTGTAAATTTAATGGGGAATCTTTACAATCCTTGGAGTAAAATTTCTTTTCCCAAGAAAATCAATTTTGTAAGCAAAGATTCTTAGAAAGGAAGGATGCTTAACAGATCCTGCTTTAGGAAAAAGGTTTCTTTTTTCTTCTTCTTCTTCTTATTTTTTTTTCCAAAGTGATATTTTACACTAAAAAATGGGTTCTAATTCCATCATTTGGATGCTCAAGAGGATATTTTATAATGGACACTTACCATTTCACAAAGGAGTCAACTCCAGAAGGACGCAACTGCAGAAGGTCCTTGACATCTTTGACCCAAATGTGAACTTCACCAGAGGGAGGATTCTTGGGACCTGCCATGCAGTACAACAGAAAGCTCTCATGACAGACCCAGCAATAGCTAGCAAGGCAATGAGCTTCCTCTCCGGGACCCGAGGGAGCAGTGATACGACCTCTCTGCACACCACTCCCCTGGAGCCGTGCTCTGTTGGGCACCACAGTGCCATGACCACGGTTGCAGGAGGCTCCTGACACAACCTGCCAGTGATGCATTGATGCAGGAAAGGAGAAGGAACTACTGGGGAAACCCAACCTTCTGCCTGTCCCAAAGTAAGAGGAGCTGTGTGCTGCTGCTACAGCATCACAACACCCCACCGTGCCCATGACAGCTGGCGAGTTTTAGCTTGTTGAGCTCTTCCTCTCTGTACAATTTGCCAGTAAATGCAATATGTGAAAAACAGACGTAATCTGCAGACGGTGCTGTCAAGCACTGTGGTTGTCCCTTTGTGCTGATCTCTACAATCTTGCTCTAATGAGATTACTCTTTAACTAGCCCACAAAACGATGAAGCATTACAAGCTACATACCAACATACAGGCAATACTTCTTAATTTATGAAATACATCTTACCTAGGCTTCCTGGAGGGACATACTTAATAGACAAATTCATCACTCCTCGATGATCCACACCATTTACAGCAGAAAGACTCTGAAATAGAAAGAGATAAACAAGGGCTTGTGTTAAGATAGCATGGCAAACAGCTTTTGATTCAAATACAGGGGAACAAATATACCAGCTCTGCTTCTTATAGCTGGCACAGTCTATTCTCAGGGCTACTTTGTGACTTTGTTCTCAAACTCAGTCCCTTGGAACATAACGCTTCAGGATTCAGAGCAGGGTTGCCCTTCCAGAAATGTCCAGTTGGACAAAATCACCTTTTTTCTGAAAGCCTTTATTTTATGAAAAGGGATCTTAGGTCAGACCTCTGAACACAGGAGCAGGCAGGAAGCTGTACCAGTTTTACAAAAGGTGGCATCTGAGTATTTACCTGTCAAGGCATGTCTGGCTGCATCACCTGGTACACTGGTGTCTGTTTTTTAAGGGATGGTCTTTTATGTGACAAGACAGAGAGGCAGCCACGTCAGAGTTTCTGCTGATTAGTGTCAGATCACATTTATGAAAGTGTCACCAAGTAAGACCCAAGAAGGCCTGCGTTCAGAGCACTAAACACTGTGCTAACAAGTCTAGGGCTTGTGGGTGTTTCCAGTGCTTCCCTAGGCAAGATCTGGGCTTCTAAACACCACCCAAAGATGTCTGAGGAGTCTTCCCTTCCCTCTGGCTAGGGCATACAAGTCCCAGCTGCAGGGACCACTGGCTACCAGCCAGATGCCCACTTACACCAAAGACGTGGCAGATGGGGCTCAGCAGGAAAAGCCCTGAGTTAAAAGTGCATGGCTCAAGCAGCCAAGAAGGATTTCTGCCACTGCTAAAGGCTTTGGGGTTGGGCTGGGAAGCAGAATTGCAGCTGAGATGCACTTACCCGGGGCTTCAGTGGATACCAGTTGAGTTTTCGGTTGCTCCAGTCCCAGCTGGCCAAGTCTAATTCAATCTCTCCCAAGAAACTATTACGTCCCAATGGGTCATTGTGCCAAACAGAGAGATTCAATTTTTGGATCAGCAATACCATTTTCTCTATTTTATACTAGAGGAAGAAAGAGAAATCAGGTTGCTCTTTTTTTTTTTCTTCAGTTTTTCTCACAACTGGAAATATACTACTCAAAAACTTGAATTACTCTAAGACACTTAAACCTACTCCACACATACTCTAAAGAACTGGCCCCATTCTGAACATCTCTTTTTGTGCTGCAGCCTGACAGTCAGCCACCATGAGCCTGACAATGCTTGTCTGCTGAGCACAGGGAAATTCAGTGCTTCATTCTTCATCAAGAAATAACATTTTTTCAAGAATTATTAACACAGGCTTGGGCATTGTTTAATCCTCCATGCTTTGGTAAGCGGGATCACAGGATAAGGACCTTTCTTAATAGTGCCATGTCTTGTAACTGCAAGCCAGAGAAGGTAAGAATACCTTCTTGTTCTGACAGCAGCACAGGCTCACAGTTCTCTTCTTCCAAAGGTCACTGTATAGTTTCATCACAGAAATCTTGTGTGCCACCCAAGTGAGTACAGAAGAACTTTCAATATCTCTGCCCTCACGAAACCAAGGGAAGAGCAGCGCAGCAGGAGACAGGAGAAGGAGCCCAGCAGATAGGCTCCTTCCAGACCTGACCAGGGATAGGTGCCTGCTACAACACAGGTTTTCAGAGCATGTATGTGTTCTTACCCTTAGCACTTCATTGTAAACAGGATTCACAGTCCTTTTCTTCACTGAGGTTTTCCTCTTACCCATTCTCGCTTTGTCTGGGAGCAGGTAAGTTTTAACATACCTGGAAAACAAAACCAAAAACAACAGCTGAATACTATTCAATATTGCCAAGCAAGCAAGACTTCTGGATGGTAAAATGGACTTCATGGAAGCAAGTTGACTCTGTAAGGGCAGAACTAATTGAGAAACCTGCTGGGATATTAACTTGTCTTGCACATGAAGTTATAAATCTCACTAGGGATGGATGGATGCCACCAACCTTCAGAACAGAACAAGCAGTTCTCTAAGCAGTGTGGAAAGCCAGCAAGGACATCTATCAATTTTCTGAAGTACCCGTAACTATAGCAAATCTGTGCATTCAAAATCTGGGTGTAATTAGAAGAGGTGGAATGTCTCAAGAAGCCTGATTATAAATCCCTCCTTTTCAAAATTCATATCCAAGGTTATTTTTATCGTCTTTTAAAACAGATTACCATACAATTACCATTGTGCCACACAACGGTGCTTCTTTTCAGACTTTCTTTCCACATAAACATGTGTCTACATCACCAGAGTTACTACTAAAGTGTATTCACCATGGGGAGACCAAGTTTCACATGGTTACATAGAGAATATATTTCAATAATAAAAGGAATTGCTCCTGTAGCGAGCAAGGTTTTCTCAATCTTATTCAGATATGTATCTGTGGCAACATATTTACTGATGTTTGTGGCTCTAAATACATCAAGAAGGTTAGTGGTTACTGCTAGGAAACAGCCAGCAGTCCAGAAGTCGAGAGGTAGGAAGAAAAGATGGGATTTTATGAGAAAATTCGTAAGAAAAAAAGAAAGTTCTTCAGAACACAAAGTTTAGCAGCAGAGAAGTCACGAGGAATCAAAGTGAAACATCACTCACGGGTCAGTCCTGTCTTTCTTCTCATCCACAACAGCCAGGTCCTTGCACTGGGACACATGAACCTGGAACTCACGGTTCTTCTCATCGTAGTCTAGTGCAAATTCCACAGTACCCTGGGCATCCACACTCCCAAAATCGCCGCTGTACACACTGAGCACACTGCCACTCACCTGCCAGGTGGAAGAAAAAGCTCACACCACTGAAATAAGCACTTTGCTAATCTGTTTTCTGGACCAACATGTGCATTCCTGGAGAAATGATCTCTCCCTCTGTCTTCAAGTATTACGGCATCCTTGATACAGAAATGGTGAACATCTGCAGCTTGCACAGGCAAGGGTTTGAGGACACGAATAAAGGTCTCACAAAGATGCAGTACCCTATAACAGGACTAAGAAGCACTGATTTCCCAAGTGCCCAAAGCTTTGGGAAACAGTTAAATATCACTAGTAAGAGCACACAAGTCTTATCCCTTTCCTGGTGCTACCCATACTAAGGGCTGCTATTCTGAACCAGGCTCATCACTAAGAAATATATTGACAGAACTTTAACTATCTTCATATACACTTATTATTTATGGTAGAGATAGTCACCCTATTGTCATTCAGTTTTAAAAACAGGCTACTAAGAACGACATCAGATTAGAAATATAGAAAAAAAATGACCATTACTGTCTTGTTGCTTGCTGACAAATTGCAGAGAGCTGTAGAGAACAGAAACAAATATATCCTGTCCTGAAGAGGCACTGTCCCACTTTATGGGAAAACACCTGTCACAAATGCAGAGGAAAATGAGTTTTATTCAGGTATCAACCAGGAACGAGGCACTCAAGAGCCACTTGCTTTCCCAGAACAAACTGGATTTGCCCAAAGGCCTTGAGCTTCTCTTTCCAAGGCTTCCAATCTTTCTCGAATAGAAAGTCAAGAAAAGGAAATAAAATATAGCTCCAAAAAGATGAGAATTTTCTATTGCACCAATCACTTACGATTATTGATGGGATACCATAAAAGCTAATGCAGTTTACAAAGCAAATAATTAAACTTCTTGGGACTCTTCTGTGGTACAATCATGAATATTTATCAAAAAACTTTCCTAGTAATTAACCCAATTCTTTTCTTTCTCCCCCCCGTTCCTTTTCTTTCTGAATTAAATGCTATGGTAACCTATAAGAATCTGCTAAATATCTTCTCTCAATCTGAGGAGATACATTCCTCATCTCATCAGGATATTCAACCCAACAGAGAATTCTAAATTAGATTTTCAAAAGCATTTATGTCACTTGTCAAAAAAGGCTCATTTATAGCTCCCAGATTCTCCAGACTAAAAGGACTAATGCACCCCCAAGCTAAAGCTTTTTAAATAACATATTTACTGACATTCCTGACCTTTCCCTACTAGCTTTTCTTCACACATATTCTTTAAATCTCACATATACACTTTGGAACTACCTATACTAGTAATACACCAAATTAAAGCACTTTTAAACACCCCCCCACAGAACACTGTCTCTAAGGAATCCTCAGCTTTCGTCAGCTTTCCTTAGAAGCTGAACTTCTAAACCATCCTGTTGCTATCAAATTCTGAGCTCCCTTTAATTTGTTGATTAAGTGAAGGAGAAGCTTGCAGAGGGCACCAGTCTGCAGTCCAGCCCTCTCAGAGCCACTCAATAGCTGTGTGTAATTCCCCCACCTAGAGAAAGGCCACTCCTCTCTGCCAGGCTGCAGCACACTTTGCTCCACACTTTGGAGCAGAGGCTGCCTCTTACTCTGAATTTGTCTAACAAGGACCTAATGAGGATTTCTAATTTGAGATAGTACCTGAAGACACTTCTTTAAGGCAGGTAATTAGCCATCACTGTTCTTTTAAATCAAGTACCACGCAGAAACCAACGTGATACTCGAGGCCACGTCATCCGCATCAGCCTAAATGCAGCGTCACTGCATCCAACTGAGAAATGCTTTCGAGCAAAACATACACATTAAATACCTACCGAGGAGACAGATGCCATGTCGGAGGAGTGGCTGCCAATGCTAGGAGTCTTTTTGTGCTTGCTAAACTGGAAGCTGATTTCCGAAGCCGTGTCTGATTCTGTCTGCTCAGAAAATAACAAGCATCTTTATGCTCTGCCGTATAAGCACTTCCCAACACTACAGAGGAAAACCAATAGCTCAGCAGAGTCCCATTAAGCAGAAAGCAGGTTAGGAGAGCGGAGGGGAGTGCAGGGAATCTCCCCAGAGGCACTGCCTCTGACCGGCAGCAAACGTCATCATTAACTGCCTCCAAACCACCTGGGCTCTTGGGAAGGGCACGTAGCATTGTGATTTGAGACAGAGGGAAAGACCAAAACTCCTACAGGACCAAAAGGTTGGTGTGGATTACTAGGGACCCTTTTCTTACAGCTGTTAGAATTTTTATCTTTTTTTTTTAAATGACATAAGCAAAGCATTCTTTAGGGCAAGTACTGCCAGTGTCCCAGAAAAAGATTCTCATGGACCCGACTGCTGTTTAAGGGATGCTAGGGAAATTATTTCAGTCATTTCTGGTATCTATCCTACCTCAGACAACAGGAGAGGAGAGGATCTGCTCAGTTCTTTGACTCTTTCAGGTTCAAGAAATTGATGGGGTATCAAAAGAGGTTTACTGTACGCTGTAAGTACAAATAGAATAGAGGCATCAAGATAAACTGTCAGAGTCAGGAAGATGTAAGAAAGACACTTGTTTGTTTGTTTGTTTAAAGGCACAAGGCGGGAGGAAAAGATTGTGGGAGGCATTTCCTCCAGCTCTGCCACCAGTCACTGAAGGTGAGCCCTCCCCAGGACACAGGCTGCTGGCTAGCTAATGCTGTGAAAGCTACTCTCAGCGTGCTGTCATTCCTGAGTAGGAGTGTCCAAACTCCCTCTAGTGGCTAATTCAATTTATCCACTGCCCGAAGCACGTGTAACTTCTTTGCTCTACATCCTCCAGCTATGTAGGTTTAATTTAGAACAAAAGCATGCAGATCCACCCCCCATCAAAGAAACCTCACATTTCCATCTCATTGCATGTGTAAACAATATTTCCCTGTCCAAACGATCTGTAAAATACTTAGACCTATAATTTCACTGCTGCAACCACCTCTCAAACATACTGCTAGATGGACAAAGAGGTGGAAATAGTCTGTTATATATAAAAAAAAAATCAGGTTCAAAACAGGACCAACTTCCACAACAACCTAAGAAGATGGCCACTGAACTGCTTAAATGTTTAAATAAGGCCTATCTGCTCCATATTTATCTTTTCTCAGTAACTTCCTCGATGAATATCATTCCAAAATGACTGGCTTGTTTTCAGATGACATACGCACATATACATCATTGCTGAGCGTTAGCTGTGATGATACACTACTCAATGCTCAGAATACCAAAAGGCTGTTTGATATCTCCAACAGCCAGTAAAGTGTTAAATAGCCTTTTCTGCAGGCTATTTGTTATACTGTAAACAAATGCAACTCGGTAGAAGGTTTCCTAGGATGAGGTTTGTGGCTCTAAATAAGCTGCAATGGGGAAAGGCTAAAATCTTTGTCATCTGCATGAAGACTACATCACTGAATGGCAATGCACGTGGGACTTGAAGCTTTGAGCCATCGTGTTTTATGACTTGCATTGCTGCTTCAAATGACAGGGCATACATTTGCACAAGGACAGCGTGGGTCAGTTGCACGCAGACAGGTCAATGCAGCATGCCCCATTCACCAGCTGCTTGGGACAGCCCAAAGGGGACTCCCCTCCATCCCATAACAAGGGATCAGGTTGACTTAAACTTGGCCTTATTGTTTCCTCTAAGCTGCTTTACCCTACTCTGGGCAACCCCCAACCTCCCCAGCTCAGTCCCAGCATACTTGGCCATACCCCTTTGCTTTTAGACAAGCTCAAGGCTGTTTTCTTGAGCTTGGCAGCTTTCCTCTTTTGGGGACATGTACTGGTTTTCCTGGCCACAGAGGCTGCTGCCGTCTTCCTTCAGGCCCTCTCCCTTGGCTGATGCTTTCTTGGGCTACTTGGTGGCACAGACAGGTTTCTTGGCCATGGGCTTCTTCAGCTTTTGCTGCTGCTTTCTTGGTTGCCTTCTCTTCAGTTTCTCTTGGTTTCCCCAAGAGGAACTGCCAACATGAAGTGTGTCCCAGCTGGTAGCTGAGGAAATCAGGCTAGCAACCTGGGGCTGCTCTGGGAAAGGCCCAGATATAGGCTCAAGAAAGCATGTGACAGCAGCCTGTGGCACAGCTCGCATGCTGGATGCAAGGTCTGCTACGTCTGATTGATCCACTGAGCAGGCTGCCATATAGGTCCCATGGTACTCAGTGGTGGAAGAGGAGATGAGGTTCTTGCCAACCGTTTGAAGCCTGTTTGCGTTTTGCTGCGCACACTGAGTGACATATCATCAATCTAGCTGTAATTTCCTGGCCTTGAATTTAATTTTAGGTACTATAAGCTCTCTAATTTGATGATGAAACAATATGTCATTTTCCTTGCTTTCCTTCCTTCTGTTCTAGCACAGAAGCACCAGGGATGCAAAATTCATACATAATACATTGCCTTCAAGAAACTTAAACTAAAATGCAGAAAGAAAAGCATTACTCACTCTCTGTGGTTGTGTAAATGTTCACCATGCTCTTTGCAAGATTAATGCTGTTTGCTTGGGCCGAGGTTTGAGCAGCAGGAGAATGATCTCCATCTTCCTCTGGAATATATGAAAAGTCAAGTTGACATAGTGAGTAAACAAACACAAATGGGCAGAATGTCAGCAAGCATGAATGTCTCTCTCCCAGCTACTCCTTCTGCTTAGTGCATGCTGCAGTTGTACAGTTACACAAAGTTGCTTTCAAATCATTGGCTGCAACATCTCTCCCTGAGAAAAGCTCTTTGCACTATGATGAGAAATGTAAACACTGGAGTAACCCAGACCCCAAAAGAGATTGACACTTAGAAAGAACTTCCAGTGGAATACAGCCATCTGCTAATATCAATCTGTAACAACTGTAATAATAATGGAAAAAATACCCTGAGCAATACAAGAATGACTGGTATATAAAAGAAATGCTCACGTTTACCTGAAATGCAACTCAAGATTTTAATGGAAATGTTATAAAAGGTAGGAAATAAGCCAAGAAATGACTAAGTCAAAATAAAATCAGCTAAATGTATGGAAAATCCTCTCAAATGGGTCTCAATTAGGTACAAGAGGATAAAAGATGCAGAAAAAGGAGACATGGAACTCTCTTTTCCTAGGTCTTTGCTTGGCAGGGAAAGGAGCTGTGGGCAATCAGAGCTCACATTTTGTTTTAACATGAACTTTTGCCCATATTATCAGTCCTTACAAGAGCCTGTCAAACCCAGAGGAAAAGGCTGATAAAGTGGTAGTACTCCACTGTGTAGACTCACTATAAAGTCCACTCCAAAGTAGACTCCACTGTGATGGAGAATGTGGTATCAGAACCCACAAAGCCCAGACTCCTTGTCCAGTCCATTCTGTTTGCGGCTTACTGGTGGACTCCCAAAAGGCCCAAAGTGTCATTCAAATCCTGACTGCCAGTAGCCATATCGAAGTAGGGCAAAGGTCAATGTATTTATTAAACGCTTTGCTTCAAGTTTTATTTCTGCTATTTGCATCAGACCTATCTTTACCAGCACAAGGAATTCTGGCAGATCTGCATTTGAAAAAAGTGTAGCGCTCTCAGTTAGTAAAGTTCCTGCAACCTGCTGTAGTCAGGGCTAAAGAACTGGAGATCTGTCCCTAGCTGAGGTGCTTGAAGGCAAAGTATGAGAACAGGCAGTGGTGAGAAAGGCAAAGGGACATCACATTGCCCAATTTTACATCTCACTGCACTACAAAGAACAGTTGTTTCCATAGCTGCTGGTTAAACACATTCCACACATGCTAACCCTGTACCAATTTTAATACAGTATAGATGTAGAAGGAAAGAAAACATGCAAAATTGGAAGCATTAGGGAAGAAAACAGGCTTAGAGGTGACACTCAATGGGGTTCCCCAGGGTGCAGTTACAGCCCTCAGTACCTGAGTGAACAGACAAGTCCATCTTCCGAACAGCTTCTCTCCCTCCAGCCATCACGCTGCCTGTTGGCTGTTCTGAAGACTGGCATGTATTTTCCTCAGGTAGCTCTCCATTTATTTCCATGTTGTCATGAGTGCCCACATCAGGTCTTTGTGCTTTCTCATCATTTTTGTCACCACCTGCAGGCGCAGGCTCAATCAGTGTCTGCACCCTGCTTGCCAAAGAGCTCTCTGTGCGCTTGCGCTCCTCTGCCACAATCAACTTCTCTGTAGGCGTCTCTGGCTCAAACATGCTGCCAGATACTTCCTTGGTAGGAGACTCGATTTTGATGGAAGGCACTCGCACAGGCAATCTGGATTTCTTGGAGCTGTGCTGTGCTGCCTTCTCTTCCTCTGGCACTGACGGCTTCCCACTGCTTTCGCCCAGCGAATTATTTCTTGTAACCAGGCCTCCTTTGCTCTTGGCATATGTAGACCTCGGAGCAATGGAAATGGATCCCTTCCTCACAGGAGCTACATAGCTTGGTTCCTCCTCACTGGAAGATAAAGTTATTGTCCTTTTGTAAGGGCTTCTTGTTTTAGTGAAGGCTCCAGGTTTTTCTTCACTGTTCTGGCCATGGTCTGACTGCACAGAGAGCGAGCGGCACAGCTTGAACTGCCTGCCATCTGCCTCCAGCGAGCCTGGGGACTCTGGCACACTTCCCATCATCACCGAGTCTGCTCCCTTCTCCCAGAAGTTCTTCAAATTCTTGAAGTGCTCACGATCAAGGCCAATGTCCTCCTCTTTATTACTCATTGATGAGATTGTGTAGTTCACGCCTGGCTTCACTGCCTGGCTGCTTTCCCCTTCTGTAGTCAGCAATCTCGAGCTTGCCAGTAACTCTCTCTTTTCAAGGTTGTTCTCTGCTGGCCCCAGGTGATTCACAAACTGCTCTGATCTGGAGAGACTTCTGCTTGGTTTCCTCTTAACAGGTATCTTGCTGGGAGCATAAGCTGCTTCGGGTGCATTTTTTGGTCTTGCTGTGGTGCCAGCGGCCCCATCAGCAGCTTCTCCAGTTGCACAGCTGGGCTGTGGCACAGCATCGTCTGAAAGCTTGGCAGGCGGTGGAGACAGTCCATTACCTACAGCAACAACAAATGCTCAAAACCCATCCCACCACACCATATCCTAACTCCCTGGAAGGTCTGGGCTGAAGGTCCTCAAAGGGAAGCCAGAAGGACTTTCTAGAAACCACCAATATGTTCCCAATTCTTTCCTATTTTGAGAGTCCAGCAAGTTCCCTTTCATGTGAAGGAAAAGCCTGAAAAACTCAGCCCTTCTTTTTGCACCAAGGAAGGGAAAAATTTCACTGAGCTCTAAATTGTTGCTGTGAGTTGGGGATTTGTTCACAGCTTCACATTCTGCTTGACAGATGTCATACTGCCTATTTGCTACATTCCAAAATACACTACATATTCAAAGCAGGAGACTAAAGAAATGTAACTTGGATCTGTTCATTAAGGAATTGTTAGCCAAGCACTCAGTTAACCATACTGAGAGCCAGGAGGAGTTTTAGTCACTGAGGATTTTTTTTTCTTGATTCTTTCCGCCTTGTATATAATTCATATGAATTTTGGCAGCCCATTCTTACAGGCCAAGCTAAGAAAAGCTCTTTGTTATCCATTTGTACACACAAAAAAAGCAACATGTTTCTTGGTGTTTGACTCTAAACAATGAAAATGTCAGTGGTTCACTGAACAAAAACTTTACCTTTTCTAGACAAATGCAAGTTGTCTGTTGCAGCTGCAAATGGACTTGCTCCAGTGTCACTCTCCGAGGAAGAAACATCATATATACTGAATTTCTGAATGGAAAATAAACTCTGTCAATGTATATCCATTCACAAGACTGGAAAAAGTGTCATTTATTTGAGCACAGATATAGAGAGGACAGTCTGTGGAGCCCCTGGTCAGTAGATACAGACTGTGTGAAGACCCAAGAAATAACAAAACTGAACACAGAAGATACGGCAGTAGTACCTTGTGTGATGCAGACAGCATGGCAGAAAGTCTCGGCTTTGGTTTTGGCAAGATTTTATGCTCCTCTGCAGTATCAAGAGCAGGTGTGTTGGATCTATAGAGTAGAAAAACATCTAAGCAAGGAGATCAGTGGTAGGGATGCACTGGATAAGGCATCCACTGCATAGGCAGTCTGGCAGCCTTCAACATTGATTCAGTTCTGCTCAGCTGCTTTGTCACTTTTTTTCTACTGACTCTGCCCAATATGAGGCTGCCCAGAACTAGTGCCTTCATTCATTTTCTTCTTTGGAAGGACTGGGGGCCATATTAAATTGTCCCAGCTTGGAGTAAATATGAATCTACCACTACAGTCAGTAGAGAACTTGATCAACAAAAACAATGGTGACACCTTCTAGGTGTCACCCAGAATTTATTCAGATCTTCCTTTCTGGGAGAAAACTATAGAGAAAAACACAGAATGTGATAGTGCCAAAACAGTCCAAAAGCCACACAAGAGGGAGATGCCCTTTCAGGCTTGGTCCAGGAAGGAACAGGCCATGCCTATCCCCACACCACAGGCCAGGCCACAGGCACATCTGGATTAATTGAGAACTTAGAAACTACAGGAATTATTAAGCCATCAACGATAGGGGATAAAAGCCTTCACACTTGTATCATAAGTTAATTACTAAGTGCTTGGTACATAGATAAAATGAACATATATCACGGGCAGTTTGCCTGACTAGTTCTGCTGTCTTTGGGAGTTTCCAGTGACAGCTGCCCTCCAGATGGAGAAGAGCAGTCAGGTTGGGCCACTGGTGAGATTTCAGATGGGAATGTTTTGCATTTAGGGTTGAATGAGAGAAACAAAGCAACGTTTACAGGACTCCCACAATAAATCATTAGGACCATTGCTATGCTACTAAAGCATGTTGACTGTGTCCTTTATTAAACAACACCCATTGTTCAGCTGCGGGAGGTCTGGAAGTGTTTTCAAGGCTCACATTTAATAATTGCAGCAGTTGCCACCTGTGAAGTATGATTCCTCATTCTGCTGACAGAAGAATGCAAATGAGATGGAAGCAACAATGAATAAAAAAGTGGATATTTTAATGGATTCTCCATAGCTCACAAACATTGAGTGAGGTCACTCATTTGCTTGCTGAAGTTCTTTTATTGTGTATTTGTGCACAGTCAGCACAACATGACATCTACCAAGCCACGATGGTGAGTGCTGAGCACTGAGGGCAGTGGTTGGCACCAGCAGGAAATGAGCGGTTTCCTAAAATAGTTCATTTTGTTAGCATTGCTCCATGGGAAAAATTAAACAAATAAAAATCATAATTACTTTGAAAAACTACCCAGAATAACCTGACATGAGAGACAGCTTCCACTTTACTGACTCCTTATCAAATCATGCAGGAAAAGACCTTTCTGGCATAAGCACATTAGCTCTTAGCAATTAGGGGAGGATTGATACTCTGACAATTCCTGGAAAAAGGGTTTTAAAAGCATTCTATATAGCCTGTTACTAATACAGTCCTGGAAGCTCAGGTAAAGAACATGATTTAATGGGTGGCATTCAATTTTCGCTAAAAACAAGCAGTGGCAGATACCTCTCCTCTCCTGTGCCAGCAGCATGCTCATGGAAGGGAGGACCTGGGGCATCTTTGCTTTCCAGACTTCTCCCGATGTGCTCGTTGACCTCATCTGTAATGTTAACAGAGACAATCAAGAAAGTACATGTAATTGAGCTTGCAACAGCATTGTGTTTTATCTGAAGACAGCAAAAGCTTGTTAAATGAGTCCCACAGCAGAAACCCTGGGGATTTAGCGGGGGCTGCTCCTGCAGGGGGGGGTGCTTCATGGCAGCATCATTCACACTCCCCAGAGGCCACGGCACCCCCAGGCCCCACGAATCTGCATGCCCAAAGACAGCTGCCCAAAGCCTGGCTCATGCCAGGAGCTGCTGCTTTGCTGGAAACCTTCAGAAGACAATGCCCTAGTTGTCAGTGAAGTTAATCCGTTCCAGGATTTAAATTCAGCCATTTCCTGTTTTTACTCAAAGTCATCTGATCTTGGCAAACAAAGGAGGAGGCCAATAGAGTTAATGAGGAGATCCTTGTTATTTTTATTGGCACAAGGCTCAGCTATGTCTTCTGAGCTCTCAAAGACCCTGAAGGAAAAAAACAATAGAAGACAGTGACCTTTAAAGCAGGCTGCCACGGTATAAGGTTGCATTAGCCATCTAACTGGCAAACAAGCTCTTGCTACTGCACAACCAACAGGATTAATCTCTAAAACAGCAATGAAAAAGCAAGCTTACTTTGGTAAAAAAACAAACAAACAACAACAAAATCCTACAAGGTCTGCACATATTTATTCATTACATTCATATAAGAGCTAATTTAAAGAGTAAATGTATCTGTTATAAAAACTGCTGTATCTCTTTTGGTCATATTTCATCGTATAATAGAAGCAGAGGCTCATGGGCTCATAGAATGGCTTGGGATGGAAGGGACCTAAAGCATCATCAAGTTCCAACCCCCCTGCTCCAGGCTGGGCTGCCAACCACTAGATCAAGTACTAGATTGGGTTGCCTAGGGCCCCATGCAACCTGGCCTTGCACACCTCCAGGTACAGGGCATCCACAACCTCTCTGGGCAACCTGTTTCAGCATCTCACCATCTTCTCAGTGAAAAACTTCCCCCTAACATCTAATCTAAATCTTCCCTCCTTTAGCTTAAAATCATTCCCCCTTGTCCTATCACTATCTACCCATGTAAAAAAAAAATATTTCCTTCCTGTTTATAATCTCCCTTTAAATGCTGGAAAACCATAACGAGATGACCCCACACTTTTCTCCAGACAGAACAAGCCCAGTTCCTTCAGCCTGTCTTCACAGGACAGGTGCTCCAGCCCTCTGGATCATTTTTGTGGTCTTCCTCTGGATTCAGTATTCCAGACAGGGCCTCACAAGGGCAAAACACTCGTGACACAGAGAGACAATCACTTCCCTCACCCTGCAGGCCACTTCTTTCCTGATGCAGCCCAGTGTACCAATGGCCTTCCAGGCTGCAAGCACACATTGCAGGTTCATGTTAAGTTTTTCATGTACAGGACCCCTAAGTTCTTCTCAGCAGTGATACGCTCAAGGGGTTCTTCTCTCAGCCTGTATAGATACCTGAGATTACCCTGACACAAGTACAAAACCTTGCACTTTGCTTTGTTGAACTTCATTAGGTTCACAAGAGCCAACCTTTCCAGTTCATCAAGGTCCCTCTGGATGTCATCACTGTCTTCTGCCATATCAACTGCAACACTCAGTTTGATGTCATCAGCAAACCTGCTGAGGATGCACTCGATTCCATCATTGATAAAGATGTTAAAGAACATCAGTCCCAAGACAAACCCTTGGGGGACACCACTTGTCACTAGTCTCCACCTGGACATAGAGCCATTTCACCACAACCCTCTGATCTTCCAACCAATTCCTGACCCACTGAACAGTACACCCTTCAAATCCATATCTCTCCAATTTAGAGACAAGGATGTGGTGAGGGACCACATCAAAAGCCTTGCAGAAGTCTGGGAAGATGACACCAATTGCCTTCCTTTGTCCACTGATGCCATTACTCCACCATGCAAGGCTGTTAGATTGGGCAGGCATGACCTTCCCTCGGTGAAGCCATGCTGGCTGTCTCAGATAACCTGCTTGTGCCTCATATGCCTTTATGTGTCTTCTAGGAGGATCTGCTCCATGATCTTCCCAAGCACAGATGTGAGGCTCACTGGTCTGCAGTTCCTCAGGTCATCCTCCCTTTCTCACAAATGGGAGTTATGTTTCCCTTTTTTCCAGTCACTGTAACTTCATCTGACAGCCATGACTTTTCAAATATGATGCAAAGCAGCTTGGCAACCACATCAGCCAGCTCCATTAGGACCCTGGTGTGCATGCTGTCTGGCCCCATAGGCTTGTACACATTGGGTCTCACAAAGTGGTCCTGGATTTGCTCTGCCCTTACCGTGGCGGGCTTTGCTCCCCCAGTTCCCACCAAGAGGTTCAGGAACATTCAGGTGTGACATGAAATAACATAGCCTTGCTGTTTAGAAAACAGCACTAAAGTAATCCAAAATAGCTTAGGTTGTAAGGGACCTTAAAGATCACCTGGTTCCACCCTTTGTGTCTTGTGAAATGCCGTGCAGAGCCAGTACAGTCAGCTATGGATAATGGCGGATCTGGAGATGGAGCTCCACTCTCCACTGTTGTGCCTCACTGCTGACACAAATGCTACAGCCACAGCCTTCCTGCCTGTCAGCACCCAGCACTGCTGTTCCACGTCCCTGCAGTGCTGAGGGTCTGCAGAGGGTGCTGCTTGGGCCTGTTTGCACAAGGACCACGCATTTGGCACAAGGCGTGCTGTGGCAACTGAGTGGCCCCATGGCTTCTGCAGTAGTGGGAATTCAGTGTTTTGTTCATGTGAAGGCTGGTGTGCAAAAAGCATCACTGAGTATTGCTTTAGGTCAGAAAAGTTGTGCCATATCTGGTGGCACATGCAGGCCATGTTACATGCAGGCAGAGGAAAGCAGTCAAGGACCATTTATTTACACAATGAGCCACATATCCTCTTCTGCTCTAGTCCAGGTAGAGAGATGCCAGCAGATAGCTGCTTGAGAATGAGAAGATCCAAACACAGAGCACCCATGTTCTCCCTCTGCCTGCCATGACTGAAAAGACCTTAACAACCAAAGGCTGCACTCATTTGTCACATCACTTCCAAAGGTATTGCAGCAAATCTGCTTCTCACTGGCACTTCCCCCTCAGACTTTCTCAGACAGATCTCCCATCTCCCAGCTGGCAGGAGCTGGAGGTGTTCACCTCCTCCACATCACCACCCTTCAAAATGGTTCAGCCACTGGCACAGCTATACCCGGCTGTTAGAGCCAAACACAGAGGTCAACAGTACATTATAATGCATCCCAACAAAGTGCCCTTGGTAACTTCAGCATCAGATAGAAAAGAAGGCAAATTCCAGCAGAACTTAGGAGTCACCTGAACAGTTAAACTTGTTTGTACATAAATGTGCATTTATAGAGCCACTTTTAATACATTAGCTGCTTTACCCATTTCCTATTACTCTAAAACACAGACACTCGACCTTGGGGAAGGGAGCACTGATGTGCTGTCAGGACTGATGTGCTTGGCCAGGGGATAACATGGCCTCTCCACAAGACAATACGTAGCTCTCATCCCCTGCACACAAGCTCAAGGACAATTTATCACCAAATTCATTCATCTGTGCTGCTCTGAACACAGTAGATGGAATTCAGAGAGCATCTGTGTACTTAATAGATCTATACTGCTGCTGATTATTACCACCTTCTACTATAATCAATAGCAAAAGTGAAAAGTCCTTAGGGAGCCACAAAATCCTTTTTTCTGAAAGTTAAAACCCTCCTCAAGAAAAGGTCACTGGGTCTTTTTCTCTGCAGGAACAAATGTTCTCTTTCCTCAGCCCATTTGCCACGCAGAAGGAATGCCAACAATTGCCAGCGAATACTGTGGGGTTTTTCCAACTAGGAATTTTCTCATTTCATTCCCGAATACATAAATAAGGTTTAACAGCCCTGAAGTCATGAGCACATTACATTTATCTCATTAAATAAAGACACACATCTTTGCCACTTTGAAAAGCTATCAGGATGGCCAGCAAACATGATGGCCTTACATCATCTACTGCAGGTCAGCTACATGCTCAAATCATTCATACAGAGCCTCGTATGGTTCCCTGATGGGGCAAACACTACTCTCACTGAGGCAATGATGATGGCACATCACAAGAGAAGTGCTCACCCTCATGGGTGAAAGGAAGCAAGCCTTGTGTGTTAATCACTGTGGGAGCTGAACATATGGAAAGTAACAGCAAGGTGAAAAGAGCAGCTGCTGAGTCTTGATTCTCAACTGTTGCTGTAAAACAGCAGTGGGAAAAGTAAGAGCAAGCAACATTGTCATACTGTAGCTGTGCTTTTCCATAGCAAGGCTAGGAATTGAAAAAGAGAAAGTGAGGGAAGAAAAAAGGCTATATCTAAGCATAATTGCTACAGTAATTCAGTAACATTTGCTTCACCCTTCTTAAAGCAGCATTTGTCTAGCACTGAAAATGAGGTAGAAATTCTTTTTTTGTGAGGGTGACAGCACTGGAACAGGGAACCTGCTTTAGCAGGGGCTTGGACCATCCAGAAGTCCCTTCCAGCCCCTACAGTTCTGTGATTCTGTGAAAATACATAACTTGTATATGAATGCTATTTTAATAAGGAGATTATTTTAGGTGATAACCTTAGGCCGTGTAATAATACATATTAGTAGTAAGAGTTAAATCACCAATGTACATCCTCAAAAAGCAGAGCACACCCTGTAGAAATGGCCAGGCAATCCTGCCAAACAGTAAAAGGTTTTTAACATGTTTTAGCATTCTGGAGAGATGTCAAAATAGTAAATGTAATGACATAATGAATACTCAATACCAATATTTCATATGAAATATGATGGGCCAGTTCTGCATCAGAGGTTCCAATGAATCTATGCTAAGCTACAAAATGCAAAGGGAAATGAGGCTCTAAGATGGTCCTTGGCCACTGTTTAGCTTCAAGTATGTGTCTGAATAATGAGGAGCTGAGAAGAATAAACTAAACTGGGGCTCAGAAAGGGGAAAAATTGTTACATTAATTAGATCCTGGCCACTGAGGCCTGGCAAACAAAGGAGCGATCTATATTACTGCAGCCCCACAGAAAGAAATACAGCCAAAGCCAGGGAAGACAGATGAACCAAACTAGTAGAGATGGCATTTGAGTTCCGGACAGATGGAAGACAACCCTGATCTTACGACAAAAGAACAGAGCCCAGCTATAAGGTCCTTGTATTAGGAATGGTGGTAGACTTTGTGAAGAGCTGACTATCAGGGTTACTTCTTCCTTGGAGCAGCAGCAGCCACCAACCAATTCACTGGCCATGTCTGTGACTACCCACCCTGACAGATAGGATGTCTCCACACAACTTCTTAACATCCTGCTATGGGGCTGGCTGGCTTGTCTTCATGGTGAGGATAAGATGTGAATCAGTTCTGCTTTGTACAAGTGTTCAGCACCAAGTGCCAGCATCAGGCTGGTTAAATTTGGACTCAAAGCACAGGCCTGCTCATTTGGCACAGGGCTGCTCTCCTCTCACTGTCATGAGTCGTAAAATCCTATTTGATCAGTTGTATATAAAAATAAAAACCTAGGCTTTCACTTCTCTCTAAGAGAGAGCAAATCTCTGCCAGAAGATGAGAGGCACTCTGCCTTTGCAGAGATGTGACTGACCTCACCATCCTGGAGGCCTGCCAGAGCAGCTGCATGGTGGTTGTTACCAGATTAGTCTGGGATATGGAGGGGTCTCTGACCCACACATATCAATTTGATGCTAGAAATTGCCTCTCATTATCTCCCTTCCTCCTTGCTTCTGTGACAAGAAATGATACTGGTGACTTCTGACAAATAAGACATTTTGGAATAAACAAGCAGAAACAGGGAGAAAGCATTTACTGCAAGTAGCTGGCAAACAACTTTTATCTTGGTCTTCTGCCATGCTGTATTTTTTCCCTTAGGCCCTGGTTTTGATAAACAGATATTTTTTCCAGTACTGAAAATTTGGCGCAAAATCTGTTTCTTAAACTGAAATTTGGCTCCCAGAAGGCTCCCAGTACAGAGAGACCCACATACTGACCACCTTTTTCTGGTCCATCAGTTTGGTTTCTTAAGACACATTAATATACTTACTTTCTAGTTTGCCCTTTTTCCTTCTGATTGATGCCCGAAGCAGATCCGAGCCCTCTAAGTCTTCCTGAAACCGTTTTGCCTTCACTTCTGAAAACCATTCACCTGTCACAAACTTCTTCTTCTTTTCATCCTTGATGGAGCCTTGTATCCGTCTGAAAGTCAAGGGAGATGTTACATGCTTAAACTATCTCCAAGGTTTCAACTTTCCCTGAGCTACTCTCATAACAGCTGTACACACAGTTCCCCCATCTGCTATTACAAAGGATGCTGAGATTATTCTCTGCAATCACAAGGGCCAAACTAACATAAAAATTAAAGTTGCTAAGTTGCTTTAAAAACAAAACAAAACAAACAGCACCTTGCAAGCAAAGATCTTCATCTTTTACAAACTACATGTTCAAAATTGAGTCACCTCATAAGATTTGACTATTTCATTTGCAGCTCTCAGGGTTTGGGAAGGGGTGGGATTGTTTACAAGTCTTGTGCTTCTTTGTTTTATTTGTCTATTAATCCCTTTATGAACTACAAACCTTTTTGGATCAGATCTGCAAACTGTGGAAATAAATTATGCAATTCAGGAGACCAACCTGGCTCTTCAGCATTCTCCCTGCATGCTTCTCTTCCTGCTCCCTCCCGCTGCCATGCTGACGTTGGCACACAAACAGTTAGCTCTCCTTCCTGAGCACAGCTTTTCTTACTGTAACTAGCTTGGGCACACCCAGGGCTGGTTTTTGGCACCTAAATCTCTCAGTGTTTCATTTGCTAGCCTGTATTTTTAACTCTTTTCCAGCAAATTTGTTTTTATATGACTTCTTGGTGTAAAAACCTTTGGCTGCCACTGTCTCCCAGTTACTACAGCTGAGAGTCCCTGAGACCTGAGAGGCCATGTGCCCCATCAGGGTGCTGGGCCAGAGGAGATTCAAGCACATATTTTAATCCTGCTGACACCAGATCAGTGTAATGCCATTGAGTTGGTCTCCCTCAGCAAGCTGGCTGTGGTAGAGCCAAATATGTTCACATTGGCACAGGAGGTCTCACTGCAGTCAGCTGCACTCATAGCAAGTGGCATTTGGCACTGCTCTCTGGAGGATCTAACTCACCTGGCTCCCAAATGAAAGCCTTTTGTGCAATGTCTCCCAAAGAGCGAAGCAAAATCATCCAACACTTTCCCTTAAACCTCCACAACAAAGCAGAAATTTTACTACATTTCAGAAATAAAGGGGAAAAAAAAGTAAGAAAGAATACCCTAACAAAACTTAACAAAGAAAAACAATGGATTTTTTTTTTTTTTAATGCTTCAATTTGGGTGAGAAGCAAGAGCCTGTTGCAAGACTGCCCATTCCCCCTTCAAGCCCTAAGCATCCCTCCAACACAGGCTTTCCTCTTTTTCAGCTTACCAAGAAGTCAAAGACATCCTTATCAGGGGTAGCCAGGCACAGTGCCATCCACACCCACTGAACTATTTCTTTCCAGCAGTGGAGAATTTGGTGCCAGCTTGCCAAGCCTGGAGCATACTGTCAACATGGATGGCATTTAAAAAGTGACTACAGCACCAAGCAATCCAAATTAGCTGGCCCCAGCCCTAGGATGCCCTGCAAAAATTGAGCTGTTCGTGGGACCTCTCATTGCCCCTCTCTCTGCCTGCATGATGGATACTGCGTGCACACCCACCTTGGAGGTGAGAATGTAAAGCCTCATTTAAAAACACTGAGAGATTTCTGTGCTACTGGATGAGGAATATAAGGCAGCAGATAGTCTCCTGCACTGACCTCTGCCACTGAGAAATCAGCACCTTTCCCAAAGCAGGAAAGGGAGGAGTCCCCTTCACATCTCTACAGGGTACTCCCTAACTCCAAAGGAGAGACCAGCCCAACAGTCCTGCAGAGAGGTGACAGCATGCAGGCTGAAAAGCAGGATGTGCAAGGAAAAGATCTTTCATGATCCAGGCATGAAGGGACAGTACTGCTGCAGCCTGCACCCCTTCCTGTGCCCACGCATACACACACTCCTCTATAAGAAGTAAAATATCCCCCAGGTGGGAGCTCACGACTTGCTGTTATTGAACGCTGTCTCACCTGATGCGATCCCCATCTTTCTTCTTCAGCTCTGCATCTCTCTGCAGAACCTTCATCAGCTTCTCATACTCCTCCTCAGTCAGGAAGCTCAAGTCCAACATGTTCCCTGCAACGTTCTTCAGCAGTTCAGACAGATGGAGCAATGACACACCGGCAACTAATCCAGCTCAGCCTGCTGCAATGCCATGGGCAGACCCCAGTGTGCTGAGCAAGACAAGGCTGGAGCAAAAAGGGCTTCATTCACAACAGCATGGCTTGAATGGAAGTCGCGTTAGCATTTGGACCTACACTTCCAGGCTGTGGGCAGCTCTTCCCGGGCACGTTTTGCTGCTTTGCGTGCCTTCCCCTGCCAGGAAAATACTCTCAGCAAAATGAGGCTCCTCTGCTTTCCTTCAGGCACAGTCGTAGCAATTTGGAAGCCAGCGTCAATCAAACAGGCAAGCACAGTGAGAAGCAAGCTCACCGCCTGCCTCAACAGGCACGAAAGCTCAGCGCAGCCCCAGCACCTCTGGTACGCGCCTCCTTCAGCAGAGAAGTCTGCCTCCGTGGAGTTCAAGCATCCCTGCAAAGAAACAACATCAAGACGCCTTTCTGATAAGTGCGACATATGGTAACCAAATGTGTACACAGGGGGTTTGTATTTGTTCTTCAGCACAAGTTCCAAATCAAGCTGCCCTACTTTCCTCATCATCCTACAGCATCTCGCACAGCACTAACCTCTCCAAGATGGGGTTTTATTTTAGCTGCTTTCCTGCTTACAGGTAAACAGCTGACTCAGCATGCTTTAAGCAAGACATGCATATGAACTGCCAAACTGCCTACTTGTTTTTTATCTACATTTTTCCTATTCCTTATTCCTTCCTGCCTTAAATGAAACAGAGGAAGCAGTCAGCCTTTGTAAAGCAATTGGAAAATGCGATCTGCAGGTATTATTGCTGCATGTTAGGCCATGAAATACCAGAGGCTGCTCATTTTCTAGTATCAGCGCACTCCGCCTTGTACTGAACTGATATTTGCTCTTCAGACAGCATATGTGCAGATTGCTCAGCATTTCAGCAGAGACCAGTAATGGCCAGAGGCTGCATGGTGTGGAGGGAAGGTAAATTACGTTTTGCAGTGCTGCTTTACTCCTTGTCTTCCCCCCGGCCAACTGGAGGGCAGTAAAGTGCACCTCCAAGGGAGGAAAAGTTCTGCTGGAGTCCATGTAAATACTTCCCAGCTCATCAGGTGGGACTTTCCCACTGAGTCAAAGCCCATCGGGTGACTGTGGATTTCATCATCCTTGGCTTTTTCTACCAAAGCCACAGCCTTGTAGCCAGAATACTGAAAATGAACAAATCCCAGTTTTCATGGCAATTATCATCTGACAATCATCATGCCCATTCCCTGACCTCAAGGCCTCTATCACTCTCAGCGTGTCTGCCTTATCTGCCCTCAGCCTCCACATTCAACATCTCCAGGTCCTGCAGGTGCTCCTCAGAGCCGTGGTTCAGATTATTTCTGATCCCCCTTCAGCCTGCATCCACACAATGCACCTCTTGGACTGGCATGCCAGAGCCAAGCATAGGAGTTTCAGCTGGACTTTGTTGATGAAACATCGTTTTATAGATCTACATTATTTGACAGCTGATACATCCCCAAGTGTTTGTTCTTTTTCTCAAAATGGTCTAACATGAAGCACAGCAACTGTCAGGACATACACAAAAAAAGGCTAAGTAATGAATGAACATAACAACTCTGTAATTATTATAAAATAATTTTTGGACAGAAAAAAGCTTAACATGCGTATGTCACACTGCAACTACAGCCTTTATCATCTAGGAAACTACTGACACCACATTATTGAAAACAAGAGCAGTAATAAAAATCTGTTTCTCCGCCAAAACCTGCAGTTTGTCCAGCCCAGCAGGGCACTGGCACTTTCGTTATGCTCAGCTAACTCTCTCAGGCACAACCTTACTTCTAGAAGTACAAGTTTACAAAAGTTTCTGGGAGGGATTTTATTGGGGAAACAAAACAAGCAAACAAAAAGGATCCAGTGACACATTTCTCACAGTATTTGCCCTTCGAGAACTTGAAATTACTTCAGCAAACCTTTTCAGCAGACTCATATTTATTTACTAGTCCAGAAGTCAATCAGAAAAATACTACTTACTTGTAAATGGTTATTTTTTTTTTTTTTCCCCTGAGAAAGTTTTGTCTTACTGTAACGGTTACCTGAGAGGAAAAGGTTAACAGAACCCAAACAGCCAACTCCTTTTGTTTCAAGAGTCAAAAAGCAAAGCGCCTCCCAGGCTTGCTGGGGAAGAAAGGTGCTGCATTCCAGCAGCCCCTGACACAGGAAGGTTCCCAGCTCACCCTCTGAGGACACAGCTCCTGGCAGCAGACACTGACCTGGAGAGTCCAGAAAGTGAGAAGTGCCTGTGTCAGTGATAATGGCACCCACTGGGAGCCGTGCAGGGCAAAGGCAGGCTGCCCACAGGTGCTGCAGCACTGTGATGCCCTGTGCTGGGGAACAGCCTGAGGTCCTGCTGTGTGTCATGACACAAAGGCAGGCAAGTGTTTCACCACATCTCCAGTGACAACTGAATCTGAGCAGAGGAGGAGGTCAGATGCAAAGCACTTCCTTCCATCTAACTGCTTTTTAGAGATAGCGATAATCACAAGGAGGTCAACACCTGCTCTGCAGTATGAGAGCTGTGGGTGCAGAGACAAGCAGAAGCACGACCTGCTTGGGGGCAGAACTGCCTGCATCTCCTACTGTGCTGATTTCTGGTTTCTTTTGGCCACCACACCAAGAAGCAGCACATACTTCAATGAGCAGAGAATATCAGTGTGCAGTTTAGCAACAGAGGAGTGGCCACACAGGACTAGGCTGCAGGCCCCTGTGTCACTGCTCATCTTCTCCGAGGACGACAGCATGCAGCTGGGAGAAGACAGCACACAGCCTGCACCAGGCATCCTGCAGGTCACAGCTCCCTAAAACAAGAGCAATATCTGTACATTTTGCAGATTTCCAGGATTACTTGCAGAGCTCACATTAATTTCAAGCATTTGTGATGCTCTCATAGCCCCACAGACTCACTATGCCTGAAATGAAAAAGTATGTGCCCTTGTTGTGTTTTGACCCACCACCTGCTTGCTTCATTTGATATCCCCATGCATTTGATTGCAAAAATCCAGTGATGTTTACTCTGCTTTCACCTACTCTGTGCTGCTCCTTTTGCAGACCTGTGTCACTGCTGTGGTTTCTCATCTAGAAGGGAGTTTGATGTTTCTCCTGTCTAGGTGTTATTCAGGGAGCTTTCATCATTCCTCTCACCCCTCTCCGTGCCTGATTCAGCTTACTACAGAACTACCCACCAGTATTTAGATGCAAAAAGACTCTTCTCAACAGTAGCAACCCCTGCTCCCTTCCCTAGCTTGGCAGAGAAGCAGCGTGAGCCGTGCCTGTGGCAGGAGGAGCTGGGCAATGCCAGAGCAAGCAGCCTGCAGGCCCCAGGACAGAGGGGAGCACCGAGCACCAGCAGAAAAGCTAAGAGAGGTAATCACTAAAGGAATAAGCCTTCCTGTTGCCAGCTGTGCGCTGGCGATGAGCAGTCCTGCAAGCTGTGGAGCTGACAGCCAGGGAAAGTCCAGGTGCTAAGAATCCCCATTTTACAGAGCCAAGATACAAACAGCAGCGAGCTGCCCCAGACTGTACTTTTCTCCTTTCAGCAAAGCATCAGCAGCAGCACCAACCCCAAAGGAACAAATAAACACCAACCTCGTTTCAGCAGAGCGCAGCACCGTCTCACGGGGCGCATAGCAGCGCTGCGCACACCAAGTAAAAGCAGCCTGGACAACGCTCATTTCCTCATCCCTTGGCAGCTATGCCCACACGTGACCCGAGCTGCCAGGATCCCCACACGGCAGTGCTGCACAGGGCCACAGGCAGCAGGAGCTGCTCCATCAGGTGCAGCCCTGTGAGCTTTGTAAAACAAACAGTGCCTCCGCTCCCAGGTGAGGCTTCTGCAGCAGCAACAGCTAGTTATGAAGGAGGGTACGTTACAAACCTGAGTGACTGCTTCCTCTATCTTCAAGTTAGTTTTCTTCTCATTACAGAGAAGGGTAACATTTGGGGGAGTTTTGTTTGTTTTTCTAGGTAACACTCTTTCAAACAGTTTTATTGGGTGAAAATTAAATGCTTGCTTAGCCTGGCGGGCACAAAATAGCTCCTTTTGGACAGACAGATGCTGAGAGGGATGCCTCCGTTATGCTGGATATCCATTTTATTTCTGGGAGATTTCCCTGAGCTCCAGCACCAAACAGAACTACGTCTCTGCTCTTCACCACCAGCCCCGTGCTCAGCTGCCCAAACCTGCTCTGGTTTCCCAGTGCACCCCTCTAGATACCCATGCCAAGCACTGAGTGCTGGGACATGTTGTCCAGTCTAACATCACTCGCTGCAAGCCAAGCAATCGCTGTGACCAGACACTGCTTTGCATTTAAAGGAAGAGGAAAGGTTTAGGAACTTTAACCTGCCAATCAGCCAGCCAGGACGCTCTTCTGATAATGGAGCATTTAACACCTTGATTTCAACAGCTGGGTCAGCATGGGATCACGCAGATCCGCCTCATTGCTGGGGCTGAGCAGAGGTCCGTATAATAAAGATATGACAACACCCCTGCCCACGACACAACAAAACCAGGAACAGATAACACTGATCTCACCAGGCTATTCATAGCCTGATGAAAATAGCAGTGAGCAGGAAAGGCTGCTTGCCTCTGTCCATACCTTGTTATCACACATCCTGTTACAATATAAGGAAATAACCTCCTTACGCCTTACAATGTGTGAACACTTCCCAGTGCCCTTATTAGTTAAGACAACTCTTGTATGGCAGGTGAAGCCAAGAATGGCACTGCTCTAATGATGATGGATGTGATCCTGGCACCACAGATCCCAATGTCTGCTCTACTGAACAGGAGAAGAAATACCTAGCACCGAAACTGCTATACCTGTACGCAGTCAACAATCCTGTCTCATGCTAAGCCCCACTCTCCCTCCCATCTTACTTCTGGTGTCAGCACCATGGAATACACAGTGGCATTACCATTGGTACTATACAGCCAAAACAAGGATGGCCATCATGGTGCTCACAAGCAGAACGATGCGACATCTGACTGACCTTCATCAGCAGAGAGATTAAAAAAAAAAAAAAGCAAACTACAGGATGGCCCTGGGAGGAATGGGCTGAAAACACACATCTCCCTTTTTCCTGTCACAAAACAAGGTGATGCCTTTTGGTTAGCTGCTGCAATGCTCTGCTGCAAGGCATCACAGGAGCCCTTCCGAGGTGCACCTTTTCCTCTTGCTCTGCAGTGCACCGCTTATGGCTATGAGCTGCCCAGTCATTCACAGACCCACAGTGGTCGTGAGCCAGGAGAACAGATTTAATACAACTGCTTTCTGAAAAGCTTTTCTACTAAAAAAGCTCGGTTGCACTGCCTGCAATGATATTTTGTCTGAGCTGTCCCACTGAAAGGACAGAAGAGCTCTGCTGTTCCTACCCAACGAAATCCCAAGCAGCTGAGCGGCCTTCAGCTGAGTGACAGCTGATAAGGACTGCCTCCAAACAAAGCAGGCAGTTGTGCAGTCCACACATAAATGCATCTGTTACCATCAAACAGTCAAGGCTGAATTCTGGCAATACCAGACTGGTTTCTTTTCAGCTATCTCCAAAAAGCAAAATTACTCAAGTTCAACTCCCCATGCATTTGACACTGATCTTTCTCCACTCAGTGAAAGTTGCACCTGACTTTGTCACTCCACCCCAGAGCAGGTGGGAGGGTGGCAGCCGTGCCCCAAGTGATGGCTTCTTTCTCCCACCTGTATCCCAGGAATAAAAACACTGTTCAGTTCATCAAGAGCACAGCCATGCATGGTTTCCCTAGCTTTCAGTCTGTACCTCACTTTCCAGAAATGACAGAATCCAGCTGCTTTCCTGTTACCTTTTCCTTCCTCCTCCCCCTGGGCAGCTTCAGGAAAGGATATCCACTGATCAGGAATGCCCCAAGATGTGCTTTGGGATAAAGGAACGCAGGAACGTATCAGAGCTGTAGGTCTTAACCCAACCCCATGAGAGCAGCTGGAATTAAACAATTGAGAGCAACAATACAATGGCAGGCAGAAGAATTAGTAAAGTCCTCTATTCTGTGCACATGGAGAACACATAATTGAGGAAGTGCTCCGCTGACCACATAAGAAATGAACTCTGTTTATTTGCATTTACCCCTGTGCTTCTAGAGAAAGTATGAGAGCACAATATTACATGAAGTCCTGTCAAGCTTCCTTCTGAAGAATGCTGCATGAGCACTTCTGTCCCCTGCGCACTTCTACCCAACCTAACCTAACTGTTTTGTGATTAATCACCCACACTATCTACCTCCCTCCAGCCAGGATTGCACAGGTGAAATTTGCATTACATGCAATTTACTTCCTTCTATCCATTTTTAATTCAATGACTCATCCCACCCAGGGTAAACGAAGGACTGAGGTTCTTGGTTCTTTGCTGTTATTTCTTAGAGTCAGCACCATCAGAGGAGAGGTGTGACTCAGGCTCTGTAAGGTCAATAAAGCCTCTTAGTGGTATAAAACTAGCAATCCAAAGTTTTAGTTTAAATATTTGAGACTTGTGTTTATTTCATAGGTGGGAACTATTTGCAGATCTTGCAGGACGTAGTTCACTGTAATTCTGCACACTGCCAGAGCACAAATAAACAAGCACAGCCCCTGGGACACCAAGCAAACCTCTCATACCTCACAGATCCAGGATTGCCATCCTCTCCCAGCTGTGAGAGGATGCCAACATTTCAGAGGCTTTGCTGTAAGAGCCACCCAGCCAGACGTGCTCCATCCAGCCCAGCATAGGTTGGGAGCCACAGCTCAGAGGCAAGAGGGAAGCGCTCACACAGTGTCCTGAAGTACACCTGGCTGTGGGGAGGAGGCAGGGGCTTGTGCTGAGTTTTGTGCTGAGGTTTGTGCTATGCTTGCCCTTCCATCCTCGAGACAAAAGGAGTTTTAAAAGAATTTGCAGTTCTCTGATTGTTGGTTTGCAACAACCCACCATTCCCATACCTTCACAGGGGATGAGTGTTGAGCTCCCCATACAACCCCCCTACGTTTCTGCTGCTCAGACGTTCCCATCAGAGAAACACCTGTTGTTCAGCCTTCCCTCCCACCAAGGGAGGACAGCAGCCTTGAAGAACCCAGCTCTCCTGCTAGGAGTCTTCATGCTACAAAAGATACTCCTCAAAGCTTCTTCTTAGCCATTAATTTGTGACATGCTTGAAAATGCAACAACAAACCAATATCTGGTAGCTGCATGTTAGAAACCAGAAGCAGCTTAAAGCCAGACCCCACAGGTGGCAGTCACATACAGAGACCAACCAACCCCCTGATCTCGTTTCTTACTCATCCTCACAACCTGTGTACTTTTAATGGTCAGGAAAGCTGGAAAGCATGCTTTGGCCAAGTTCCAACAAACAAAAGGCACAGCTAAGGATGCAGGACAAAGCAACCATGCGTGACAACTTGTCTCTTTTTTTTTTTTGACCCTCAAAAATATTTGCTGACCTCAACTCTGCTTTCATTTCACCACGATTTCCCCATGCTTGCTTTCAAGTGTGACATGTCATAAATTGCTGTCCTGACCCTGCCTGTTACGCCCCAGTAACACCACGTTTGCACTGCCTACCTGGCACTTGGCAGTGGGTTGGGATGCACGGCTCAGTTAAACCAGGAGAGCTGCACCCCAGCACTGCCCACATTTCTCCTGGGGGGGGGAGGGGGGTCCGTGATTTATCCCTCCCACTCCTCCGGCAACTGGGACTTGGCATTGAGGGCACAGCCTCAGAATCTGAGGCTATTTGCAAACAAACAAATAGAAAAAAACAGCTATTTCTTTAAGGTGGCATGAGCTCAGAAGTCAAACACACATGGAGCCCAATTCCTTTGTACTCCTGTGCCTACTGAGCTCAGTGATCTGAGACAAAGTTTGATGCTGAAAGCCATGGGAAAGCAGGACTGCTTGTTGAGGAAAGTTTGTATGCAGTAGTTTCTTCCTTCTGTATCAGTGGTGGCATCCCAAGCCTCAGCCATGCCTGAAATAACTAAAAAAATAGAATGAAGGTAACTGGGGTGCTTCTCATCATGGTTTAAAACAAGGTACACTCAGAAAATGTAATTCCTTTCAGCATCTGGGAAAAGGGAAGCTTTGAAAACAGCCTTTCAGGAATTGAATTCCTGATCCGTAATTCCAGTTCCTGATACCAAAGCACAGAAAGGCTACAGCCAGATTCTGAGGTCAGCCCCACATCATGAGAGAAAAATAAAGCTCACAACCACGTCTCATCCACCATCCACACACCACACCACGCTCTGTCATCTCTGGATTTCCAAACTGAGCTGAGGCCTGGACTGGGCCGTGCTGTTCCTGGCTGAGTACAGAGACATGCAGTGCTCCCACCTGCAGTGCACTGGGTTTGTTCTGTGAACACAAGACACTGAAAGGGAACTCTAGGGAGAGCAACTCCATTACTGAAGCTGCACCTACACCTTCTGTCACAGGCCTTTTTGCAAGAGGAAAAATAGATTGGCCAATTTTCTTCCAGGAATAATGCAACTTTCCAGCGCTAACACAGGCTCAGGCATGAATTCAGTCATTGGAGCCATTTATGTGCTCAAGCTGGATAACTTGAGTGGGACATGAAATACTTTTGGAAACTCTTGTCATTCAGAACAAGAAGAAAAACCCAAACACCTGATTCTACTGTCTGTGCTCACAGTTATGTGAAAGATCTCGTGTTTATGCATTCCCAGCAAAGGGTGATTCACAGACATGAGGATAGGGAGAAGTTACACGAAGCTCACTGACTGCAGGTAAGACAGATGTACTTAGCACAAGTAGCACAAATCCGCATAAGGAAATCTGTCATTTAATCTAGCTCACGAGAAGTCCAGGTAAATTCAAACAAGAAATCCAAGCACAGATTGCACAGATTTAATTAAATCGCTAAACATAAAATCAGCTTCATATGATCATCTGATACCAATCTTCTTACACACACACGGTGTTTCTGCCACCTGTGCTGCTACACGAATACCCACACAACCTGCAATGAGGTGAGAAAGGCAGCTTTCCAGGTAAGAGTAACAAGGTCACCTGAAAAATGCTGTCTTATGTCAAGATGCTCAAGGTCCGTAAGGGTTAGGAGCTTTTTATATGAGCGGTGACAACTCTCTGCCAGACCTCACTACGCGATGCTGCCGGCAAGAAAAAGCCCAGCACAGCGTAAGGCTCCCACGTGGAGCGGCTCGGATGTTCTGTCAAGGAGGATGGAGAGGCAGACAGACAGCGAGAAGGGAACGGAGCGCTCGGCCCCACGGCCCCCAGCAGCATCACCGGCAGCCCGGACCGAGACAGGGCCGTCCGCGCCATGGCTGGGGAAGGCAAGCGCACTGCGAGCTGCTGTTGGCAGCCGTACGCAGCAACGAAAGGAAACGGGAACGAAGTAGAAACGGCACAGCTCCTGCAACAGCGCGCGGCGCAGCCAGGAGCTGTCGGCAAAGGGAGCGGCCCACCAGAACGCAGCCCCGCGGCTATGTCAGCTGCTGGCAACAGCGAGACGCAAATAAGGAAGTCCGTGGAGCCGGAGCGGAGGAGAGCTGCGGGACACGGACGCAGGAGAAGCGGTGGGGAAGCAGCGGCAGCTCGGCGGGCTCCCACCTGCGGCACACGGCGTCAAGCGAGGGGCGGCTTGGCGGACCCGGAAGGTCCCGGGCGCAGCCAGAGGAGAGGGAGCAGGGAGGGCAGCGGGGAGCGATACCTCAAACGAGAGACAGCTGGGAGCCACCACGCGCACCTCTGCACCCACGGGGGATAGAGGGAGGAGCTCGCTGCCGCCCCTGGAGGCGTGGCTTTCGGGAATGGAGGCGTGGCTTCGGGAAGGGGCGTGGCCATGCGCCGGGTGGAGGCGGGGCCACGCGGACGCGGGCACTGCGGTCACACGTGCGTTCAGTCCGTGTGAAGTGCTGGTTGCTACATAAGGTGCCTTACAGGAGCCCAGCCTCTGTGCAAAGGGATTAAGCTTTCTTTCTTTCTTTTTTTTTTTAAGAGCACCAATAAAGCTTCAGGATATGGGAATATTTGCACTGGAGCATTTGTTTTCCTGCTGTAAACACCAATTACCTGCAAAACCAGCTGTCATTTAGCAGTCTGAATTAACTGAGATAGGTATAACGGCAGCTGTGTGTGTCCTCCACCTTGGGCATGCAGAGCTGTGGTCACCCAGGAGCTCTGGCTGTGGGATTTGGCAACTGCAGGTAGAACAGAGGTAACTGAGGTGGGGTAAAGTGCAGCTTGGATTTACAGCCTGTATTTTCACATTTTTAGCCTTAAACCTTAACCCCACGGCATTACAGCCTGTGCCCTGCAATGAGTATAAAATAGCAACCCTGCAACATGCAAGAAATGAGCAGCGACAGCTTTATAGGGCCTCCAAACATCACTGTGTGCATGGATTTCTGGATGCTAGCAAGTAGCAAGTGCACAGTGAGTGGGAAAAAAAGCAATAGTTTATGAAGGTTTGATTACTGGCCAGCCCTGCTTGGTTGCAGCAAAATACGGCACCTTGAAGTGAGTAAATACCATCACATGGGAACAACTCCACAACAGCCTGCAAAATGAAGGGAAAAGACATATTATTACTGCAGTCAGCTGCTCCTATGCTTTTCTCACCTTCAGTCTTTTAAGGTTTTTGTGAGAACAAGTGGCAGAAGCCATGTCAAACAGTAGGACCATCCTTTGTGATTGTCTGGCACTACCATGCATGGAGCAGTGCAGCCCTGCAGCCCTGGGGCTCATGTTAGGACAACACTGCCCCAGTGCATGGAGCGCCTTTGGGAAAGGAGCGCCCAACTCTGCAGGGTGGGCTTGGTCCTTCTGTGGCCTCAGCAGGGAGAAGTGAAGATGCAGAGCTCTTTAAGTCCTCAGTTGGTTTAAAACAGTGCTGAGTTTGTTTCAAGGCACCTGTGCTTCTTCAGTAAATGTCAGGCACTACAGCTCTGCCAGAGATCTGTCTCTGGGCTGCTTCTGCCCCTTGTGCCATAGTTGAAGCGACAAAAGTTTGCTCATTCGTGTTCCAGTAAGGAAAAAATGTCCCTGAGATCTACACAGCTTTGGCTGGCTCCTTTGTGGATTGGGTGCACCTTCAGCTCAACCAAATGTTCCTGTTGGTATCTCACCTATGTCTGAACCTCAGTGAGCTCAGCCAAGGCACAGCTTTTCCCTCTCAGTCCTTTTGTTTCCATGCAGTCCTTTCTCTTAACTCGACTCTCATTAGGCCTGGAGTGTTTTCAGTATTTTTAGCTGTGACTTTCAGAACGCTGCCAAAAGATAGCTGAAAACTATAGAGCAGTGTGATTAATGCTCTCGGCATTTCTCTGTGATTCATCTTGGTGTTCTCTAACTAAATATGGAAGCATGACAAAAATCACTAGTGTTTCACTGGGGTATATCGTTCAGGTTTTTGCTACCTTGGTGGATCTCTGCAACGTTCCTCCTTAGCTACTTAACTGCAGTACTAAAATTATTGGGAGCATGTGCCTGTGATGCAATTCACTTCCCACTGTCTTGTCACAAAAATATTATTTTGAGAGCAAACTGGCTCTCAGCTTGAATTACTGGGTGTTAAAATTTTAGCTTGCAGCTTGCCAGAATAAAGAGATAAAAATTCCCCATCCGTTACTGCAGACATTCCACCAGCGAGCCATAAACTTAACTTCAGAGTCCAAAAAAAAGCAATATCAAGCATCTGAGCAGGATCTGCTTGCATCTGCAGGAGCTGTGAGTCTGGGACTGAACAGGTACAGAATAGCAATGTGTCTTCTTAGAGCGATCCCCTGCAAGCCTGTTGTATATCTTGGTTAGAGAGGGAAAGTCACACAACAGCTAAAATCCAGCAAGAGAAATCTGGGGCAGGTCCACTGAAGCTACATGGAGCCCATTTAGTTTAAACCAGCTAAAAACCTGCCTTTTTACATTTGATTTGGCAATATAGACCTCAGTTTTCACTGATGTTCACCAAGTTGTTTTAACCAAAAACTACGGCTCTGTGTTCTTTCCAAAGTAATATACAAATGTGTTGGTTAGCAGCAAAAGCTACAGAGGATTTTTGATGCTGTCTGGATGAGCTGTTAGTATTGTATGATATTTTTTTCTTCCATTCAATGACAATTTTAAAAGATATTAGCTCATGCTATAGGGAACCTTCTGAGATGCTTATAAACCACGTGGCCCCAGTCACATGGAAAAGATGTTGCTGATCACCCACTAATCACAAACCCAACAGTTTTTCAGAGGTCCACATTCCTCCTACCTGCCAGCAACAGCACGATTTCAAAGCAGGTGCAGCTGCAGCCCCAGGCACAGCTGGGGCACTGCTCTGACCCACACCTGCAGGCAGGAGCTGCTGCCAAGGGTTGGTTTTCCTGTAGGAAAGGGGGGAATGCATGTTGGGCTGAGTGGCCCCATCTGACAGCAGGTGAGGAGCGCTATGCACTTCCATACTGCACTGCCTCACATTCATTCACCAACTATGTGAGGGGCTGAGACAACACAGCCAGGTAGGTTTGAAGGCTTCTTTCATCCCAATGGCAAAAAAATAAAGCCTGGCAGGCAAAAGGAAAATCTTTCTGGAAAGGAGATCTTGAAGCCTGAGACCTCTAATCACACATGGAGACTGGCACTAATCAGTGTTAGCAGAGGAAATGACAAAGTTTAGATATGCACAAAATGGTATAGCATTGATCCTGTGCAGACATACTGCTCTGGAGGCAATGCATTTATCTGTGGCCATGCATGTTTAGGCCGCAGGCAATGTACAGCAGAGTGAACTCACCACTGAAAAGGAAACTGTGCAGCTCATCTGAACTCCGCTGTCACTCCAGGTTTGCTGCGCTGAACTGATGAGCCATAATTTCAGGCCAGAAACACAGTGCCAATGGCAAAAATATCTTGAGAAATCTGTTCTCTGGCTTCCAACACATGCAGCAGCCTAGCTCCTACTAGCAGGAGACAACAAGGAGCAGGTGACAGCTTCAAGAGAGGCAGTTAGCAAGCATTTTCCTATTTCAGACAAGTGAAGTGTTGTGGATGGTGAAGTGCCACTGCCTGACACCCCTTTCCTGTGGTGTCCCATCCTTGCTGTATGGATGCACTGCACACTCCCTCCACATCAGCAAGTAGCCAACACAAGTGTGCTGTTATGGGCTTTTAAAAGAGAAGGAAATAAGAAATCTAAGCAGCAGTGTTGCTTAGCAATATGGAATTGTGCTCCAGCACAAGATGTAGCACATACACTAAAGGCCCAGCAAAAAGAAATAGCATTTTCTAAGGAAATAGGAAATGTTTGCTGTGTATTCTTTGCAAGTGCAAATTAAGCTGCTACAATGAGGGATAATGCCCATGGAGTTGTGCGTAATCCAAATTAAGCAAGTCCTTAGTAGGTATCAAGAGCCAGTCCCTCCCACTGCACTGCACCTACCTATTTGGTCAGCTCATATTTCAAAAGCAGAAACATTTCAAAAAAGAAAAGTAGCCTACAAACAATATTTGAACAGCAAATGAGATTATATTACTTAAATAGGTTTCTTATTACAAGTTATCAGCTAGCTGTCAGATATACTATTATTATTATTGTTAGTACGACGTTGAAGTAGAAAGATTGGGAAGAAGCATTCTGGTTGGCTTTACAGCCCAAATTGCAAAAAGCTGCTATCCTTTTTGATACTTAGAATCATAGAATCATAGGATGGGCTGGGTTGAAAAGGACCACAATGATCATCTAGTTTTAACCCCCCTGCTATGTGCAGGGTCGCCAACCACCAGACCAGGCTGCCCAGAGCCACATCCAGCCTGGCCTTGAATGCCTTCAGGGATGGGGCATCCTTCCTAGAAACCACATTGATGATTGGCCATTCCAAACAGTCAGAAAACTATGAACAGAGCCATACAAATACCCCCAAAGTTTTCTGAAATATTTTTTAAAATATTTTAAAATTATGTACCTAGTTAATTTGTTTTCTGCTTTTTGTTCTTTTAGGGTATATTTGGAACCATATGGAGATTTTTTTCATGCAACTAAAAGGATCCTTTCCTCAAGGAAAAAGTAAATACAAACTGACTATTCATGACATCATTCACTGCCACCATGCCCGGAGCTAGAGAGTTAGGAGAAAACATCATCTCAAGGCTGATGATAAATTTGACAGTCTTGGTGCAAAAATCACAGCAAAGTGAAAACAAGTTTTTTGTAGAGATGGACAGACAGTGCCTGAAGGGATGCTGAGTGGACTTCCAGCACTCACCTGGGTCTCAGGGCAGAATGAAGAGTCGGTGCTTGTTAAATGCCAATCATGTCAGTGGTATGGGTGAAATAAGTCCATGAAATAAGCCATTATTTCTTTCTGAGGCCTGTCTGCTTATTGAATTAGAAGCTCTTCAATATTTCAAAAGGCTCCAAGAACATTTTAGTTTACTAATTTACTAATTCATTTACTAATTACAGAAAAGAGCGAAGAGTTGTCGGCACGGGACACAGGCTGGCTGCAGGCACACGACCCAAATACGCTCTGTGTCAGAGGACTTGCAGCACAAGGCCAGCAGTGATGTGCACTGAGCCTCAGCCGTGGCCATGGATCAGTGCTT